ATCGGTTGAAATTTGTACTTTGACACAAAGCCTTGCTTAAAATAAAGTAACCTTTAGAATCTAAGGCAGAGTTGAAACCAATAATCAAATCATACTGTCAGATATATTTAACAAATCTTATTTGTTACACAAAGTGAAATATCTTTGCAATATCTTTAAAAGGAAGCAGGAGTTGCACAGTAATAAAGTGTGGGTGAAGCACGGGCCAATATCCTTTTAATGCTCCGGATATTCACCTTCGAAGAACTGTATTTTTATAAGACAAGCATTTATGAAATAGGTTTTTTTAGAGTACCAATAAAATAAATGTATCATCCCAAAAAGTCAATTACATGAATAGCTACTTTTATAAAACATTAACTGATTAGTTATTCAATTTGTTGGGAAATTTCATAAAAAATGCATAAACTTATGTAATAGAAGCTTTTTTTTCTCAAATATTTCCTCAGTTTTCTGCATAAGGTAGGCTTTAATAGTTTATATACATTTTAAATCATATCTGGCTGAAATATAAAATTATAAGAAAGAGTACTGTATTTTAGTGTATGAATAGAATCTTAGCATCTAAAGTCTTTCAACACTATTCTATATTTCCACATATACTGTAGGCCTACAACAATCAGGTAAGCATAATATATGAAAAGTTTTACAAGGGAGATCTATTTCGACTCACTATTAGGCACAAAAAAAATCAATGTTCGTTTTTCTGTAAAAGAATTGATGAAGAGTAGATAGAATTGACTTGGCTAAGAAAATGTGCCTATACCTATGCTCTGAGGTGAGGTCTGCAGTTTTGTACCTTTAAACAACTAATTAATAGGCAATATTGCATAAACAAAAATTTAACTGAAACAAACAAATCCATATTACTATTTTACAAACATTAATTGGCTTAATCTAAATGTTATTATTGTAAAAGTGTTATCTACTTTTGATATAAATTAACTTAAGGTTACTTGATTTTGTTACTAAACACTTCACTGCATAAACTAATTTATTCTGAAGATGCAAGTCCCAATCATATTACAAGGGCTCAACTTAGGACTGTACACTTTATTGAATAATTTATATTTCAATATAAATTCAAAAGGAAACCTTTAGCCAATTTGTAAAGGTAGTTTTTGATATTTTGTCATGTTCTTATGAGGCCTCCCTATCTAAAATTATTTGTATAATAATTTAATAATTTTGATAAGGAAATATTAAACAGGCTATTTTTTAGAGATTGTCAACTTCTTTAAGGTAAGAATTGTTTAAATAATTTTAAAACGTTTCTTAGGTAATTAAACTACAGTATTAGCGAATTTTCCTATAGGGAAGTAGTTTTTAGCGTAGGCCTCATGGTTAAGACCTAGACTGACTTACTTTTTAATTTTGATGTCCACAGAGGTCAAAAACACTATTCGCTAAAATGTTTATAATAAAAGACCAAAGACAGCAAACAGAAATATTCCTTAAGTTTTTCTATGTTTTATACATATACACTGCTCATACCAAGGCCCCACTAGAAAAACACACTTCTGTGAATGCTACTTAATAATCAGCTGTGATAGCCACAAACAGCTAATATAACCTCAAGGCTAGCTCAGTGTCCAATCATAAGGCACAAACAAAGAATATTACTTTTGGTCTTTTGTCTAGCCGTACAAAGACCTTTGTTGCTTGCTTTTTACAATCTTTTGGGTACTTTTCAATAATGCAAAATGAAATTTGGCTATTGATGGTCTAAAATATACAGTTTTGGCAAATAGTTAGGTTTAGGTAAAAAATATGTTAACCAATTTAGCAAAAGTTATAAGGTATTTTGTTTTATGGATTTAATAATGCCATAGCTGATAGTATATCAAAGTTGGAGGTGGATTACTATCAACATCAACATGTATTTACATAGAAGGGTCAAGGGTACATCAAAAAACAGAATTATATTAACTTCCCAGCCATAGCATAAAAAAACGCAATGTACCTTTTAGTATATGCAAAAGGAAAGACAATATATTTCAGTATTTCCATTTTACCTTGCTCGAAAAGAAGAAAAAAGTTTTTACCTGGTAAAGGTGTATTAATTTTTACATCTGTCTATTTTTGTGTATTTCTAAATATATATTCTGGTCATAAATAAACTAAATCAAGATATGATGAAATAGTTTCAAATATACTAGGCTATAGTAGTCAAAGTTCAGACGGGCAGATTTTTAATTACTGTAGATGATATAAACTTATGTTATGAGATACAGTATATCTCCTAAAAACTTAAGAATACTACCCATAGCTGAACTGTAACATACACTAAAACTGTTTCAGTTAACCAAGTTTTACAATTTTATAATTACTAGTGTACCTGTTGCTCGAATTCGAGCAATTGCGAAGCATTACAGGCGACTCAAAGATTATGGAAATACTCACGATCTACACAACAGTTAGATATAATCAAAATCCTTTGTAAATATCTTGTCTTTTTTCAAAAAGCTGATCTTGTTTTTTTAGTGTTTTTAGCGTAAAAAAAAACATTATTTCTATTTCTTCTACTTGGCTGTGTTCTATGACTTTTTCTATGTTTCCATTGTTTGCAAATCGGTTATTTCAATGATTGCTCAAGAAATGTAGCACAGTGTTCAATTCAGTTTTATTCAGTTTTATTTTTAGCCTATATCAAATTGTCCAGGATTTCTCGCTCTTTTCCATTGTAATAATTACACCAACCCAAGTTTCGTCTACAGATGCAATATGCCAAAGAATATCACCTACCGGTACGTACAATCTCCAAGAAGTGGTAAAAAAAGGCAGAAACCAACCCATACAATAACTCCATAAAAAATAATTTTAAAAGTTACTGTGATATTAGGATTTTCCACTGATTTGGTAATAGAACATTATATTGCAAAACATGACACGATGCAGAAGAAAATCAATTTTAAAATCAGAAAAATCCATTGCAAATACTGTACTTTATTTTGACAAATTCAATAAATCACAATTTAAATATTAACAGCTGTTGCATTAAAAAGTAGTGTAGAATTATGCATATGGTCGTAATGTTAACAAATCTGAAGAGGCAAATTTAATGGCTTCTGGGACAGAGCTCCAAGGGAATTTACCTCTTTCCTCTTTTGATGGTTCATCTACAGACCAAGACCTTTCTTTAGAGACCCCTACCAAGTTTCTACGCCCAGCCGTTCTCTCAAATTAGCTGTGACAAAAACCCCGTTTTCCTCCATAAGAATAACATGGGATGGGAATTTAAAGGCCACGGGGGCAGAGCCCCAAGGGAATTCACCATGTTTTTCTTTTGATGGCTCATATACAGACCAAGACCTTTCTTTAGACACCTCTACCGAGTTTCTACGCCCAGCCGTTCTCTCAAAATAGCTGTGACAAAGAAAAACAGTTTCAAATTAATATATAGATTATCAACTACAATTATATTTAGGAGGTTTTCGCCTTGTCCTTTTAGAGAAATTGTTGAACCTAAACAATAATATCATAAATAGTAACAAAAATTTAAAACATTGCCACCGTATTTAGATAGGTACATACAAATTTACCAAAATTAATATTTAACCATAATACATTTTTTTTTACTATTTTCCAATTTAAAACTTGGTTTTGCCTGTATCATATAAATTACAAAACTTTACCAACCAAAAGAGAGAAATAAGGAAAGAGAATTTCATAATATTCTTTGTTACTAGTCTTGCCTTCAAGCAAGTACCTATATTGATACGTTAATAGAAATTCTCAACATAAAAGGCAGCATTGATACGAGCCATATATTTTAACAGATTAAAATCTTGCGATTTAGTGTTCATAGGAATTCATGCTGTCCTCTTAACACGCTTTACTAAATTAATTGCTAAAGAATGCCTTGTGTGATTTTGTGATAGCGTTATTATGCCTTTTAATTAATTTTTAGGAAAAAAATGTATTGAAGATTGTTGAAGAAATAAAAAAATATTTAGGAATTTTGAAATTATATTTTTGCTATTGTGACTATACTACGCCAGTGACATTTATTAACGTTTTTGTAAGGCAATTCTCCAAATGTTGGTCTTGTTACTTACTATCTAACTTCAACCTTTTAATAAATTGAAAGAATTAGAAACTAATAAGTAGTACAGCTGAGGTATTTTTAACATTATATAGGTAGGTAGTATATATGGAAAGTTCCCTTTAGAAAGGAATTAGGACCTTAATGAGTATTTTATGAAATAATGGATGGTTTTGCGCAAGATTTCTCTCATGATGAACATTTTAAGTACTGTATATGGTTTATGGGGGTGTGATTTGTAGTTTTCTCAAAAGTTCATGGGTACTTTGGGATTTATATATGGATACTCCCTATAGTTCGGCCACTTAGAAAGCGACCTCCTCCAGCATTGGTTTAGCATTAGCGCGCAGGTCGTTTTCTAAGCGGCCGAACTATAATAGATTTATCATGTTTTGGGATCAGCTGAAGTCAACTTTAAGGTAAGTTTATGGTCAGTGAAATGTCCTCCTCTAATACAAAACAGGTCAGGTCGGATTACATGTGTTTCCAAAGATTAATAAATAATCCACCTAAAATGATGGTAGAATAGAAATTAACGTATTTAAGGTTTATCAAAGCACATTATTTGAAATGTATTTAATCTTTTAACATACTAGGTACTACGCAATATGAAAGCAATTGATATTTTGATCTTTAGCAAGATCAAGTCTACTTGAATAGCACTTACATGAAAGATTTTAGAAAAGTTAATGTGAAGCCTAGGTATTTCAATATCTTCAATATCTCATTTAAAATAAATCATAATTGGTTCAAAATGAGCCAACTTTTATCACTCTTTTGGCTAACTTGTCTTACCTCCTGTTTTCTGGGTTGACAACCATGCTGAATTTGACATGCAGCTGATTGAAACCATATCTCTTTTGTTTATTTTCAAGTAACATAACCTATTTATATGATTACACAAACAACAACAAATAATGTGTAAACTAATTTCAAATTCTATTAAAATGTGTTTATCTTTAGTAAACCCTTCTTAAATGACTTGTTTGATGATAAATATCATATTACAGAGTATAAGCTAAAAACTTAAAAGTGCAAACAAATTATTATGTCATGAATGACAGCCCTGATGAATCTGTACCAAGTCTGTCTTCGTATCCTCCGGCTTTTGTCTCTTTGATAACAACATTCATCAAGAGGGCGGAGGAGGCTGAGACTAGAGCGCACAAATCGTTGGTCATACTCAAATCCAAAGACAACCAAGTGAACCAGCTTCAACAAAGGATGGAGGTCCTTGAAAACATTGCTTGCAGACTGGAAGAAGTCGTTCCTCCATTGAATCTGCCAAAGTCGCCACAGTCTGAACTATATAGTCCAAGAGACGTCAGTAAATGTGCAAGTGGTAACCCTCCATTGGAAACCCTGTACGAACGATGCACTAGCATTTACAATAAAGAATCGAAAAATAAAAATGGGCACAACTGTTATGAAAAGTGTCAGAATTTAATAGACGGTCTCGAACGGTCCAATTGTCAACTGAGAGAGGCTCTGATAAAGGAGAGACAAGAAAGAGTGAAAGATCATGAACGATACATGGCAAGTAATCTTGATAAGAACTCTCAGACTTGCGAGGATCTACAAAATAAACACACTGAAGAGCAGCTAAGCTCTGAAAATAAAATCTTTGGTAAAACACAATTCGTTAGTAGAGCTGCTGGAGATTGTAACAGTACAGGAATCAAAAGTGAATGCATCAGAATTAATTGTCCAGAAAGAGAAAAAAATATGGCTGTAGTTGACAAACATGACTTAAAAAACAAAGTTGATTTAGCAGAAAGCATTATTTCAGTTTTAAAACACAGGCTAGAAGACAAACGTGGTAAGAGGCTCAAAAATTCAAAAAGGAAAAATGAAAAGTCTGCATACAAAGTATTTTCAAAAGCATCATCAATATCTTTCCATTCTCCTAATTCATCTAGCACCTCTAGATCAAACCGATTTTCTTCTCGGTGTTTTTTAAATGTGTTAAGAAAGCAAAATAAAAAATTGAAAAGTAAATACAACATCTTGTGTGAGAAATACACTGAATGCTTGTCGCTTTGTGAGAAACTACAAAAGGAACTTATTTGTTTTAAAAACAAAAATAAAACAATAGGGCAGACCGGATTAAAATTTGATCTGACTACAGAGTCTACTCAAACTGAAGATCTTTTCTTTCTTCCGATACAGAACAGTCAAGATAAACAACAGTCAACCAGATCCGTAAACATCTTACAAGGCCGTTTGGAAGCAGCAGCCAAGGTAATGGCAAAACAGTGCAAGCAAATTCAAAATCTACAGAAACAATTAGGAGAAAGCTTTACACAAGTGGAATGTCTCAAAAAGAGATTAGCCAGAGCTGAATCTACAGCTACAGCAAAGAAAGTCTTAGGAGAAACCACTCAAAAGCAACTTCAAGACATAGAACAAAGAAATTCAGCACTAACCCAAGAAAGACAAATGGTTAAAGACTCTTGTCACCAACTCAGACAAGAATTAGCAATTCAAGTAGAGGAAAGCAATAAAATAAAGAGAGAAAAAGAAATATGCGAACATCAATTCAAAGAAATGAAATTATCATTGGAAACAAAACTAGTCTCTCTTAGCTCTGCTTTGCAGCAAAAAGAACAACTCAATTGTCAAATGACAAATGAGCTGCAGAACAAGCTGAGTTTACTTAGAGAACAATTCATCGCTCAGGTGACAGAAGCGAGTGACCGTTTGGTGGCGGCTGACTTCAAGATACAAGAACTTTACTTGGGTATCGAGACGTTCTTGAAGCTCTTGTTTTCTCTCAACTCACCCGAGCTTTCTCCATCTTCCCAAGCCCAAGCCGTGCAAGTAGCCAGCGACATCCTCCAACTACCAACATCTGAGGTGCAGACGATTCTACACACCTCGAGGTATGACCTACGAGTTGGTAAATGGATCAGGGAGTGCAACAGAATTGTACATGAAAAGGTTTTTGCCAAAACATTGGGTAACCTTCTACTTGATGCGGTTTTAGAATCAAAGATCACTTGATGGAATCTTGTTGGAAATTATTTTTTGAAGATCCAAAGGTCTATAATTTTAATTGGGTCAAAGTTTACCATCAGTTTTACTAATGTAAAATTTTCCAGTTAGACAATGAAAAATAGGTACAGTACGAAGTAGTAGACAAAGAAAGCATATAAAGTATAAGGCATTAAAAGATTAAATTCAGTAAATGTCATTAAAATTTACATGATTTTTTTTAATTTACATCTCAAGTTAGAGAAAACTGTTCCTAAGTTTAGAGGAACAAACTGGCAGAGTTTTAAAACACGCTATTAAGATGTAGCAATTTTTTTACTTGAAAATGTGAAGCAGAATTAGTCAGTTTAAATAGTTTGGAATATTGAATTGTTTTTCCATCTTCTTTCAATTTACAGTGTAAAAAATATGCTGCTTTTTACTGAGCAATTTAAAAAAGTAATAGCCGTGATGGTTGTGTGTACTCCTCATGTCCATATATAAAACTAATGTCCTTGATGATGGATAGTAGTTATCAAGGTCATGTTTATCTAGCACTTCAGGTAACACATTCACTTTAATTATGTTTTTACATTGCCACACATATAAAAAGTACGCAAAATAGCTCATTTCCGCTCGTAAAATCAGCTGATTTCACAGTAGGCTTTTCTATAATAACACTTACAACCGGTAAGCAACTAACATTACCTGAAAAAGCAAACTTAACCTAAATGACATATTATATAGGTACAACCAAAGATTACACATGCTACGCAAATTTTGCATACAACTAAAAAGTTAATCTTTGTGTTACTGGTATAAGTTAATTATGGTGGTAGGAAAAATTTGGGAGGATAACAAGCAAAAACAGTCATTGCCCCTCTCAAAAAGGCTATATACAGTTTTTTTTTATGCTCTTAATACACAAATGGCTATTCATAGCTGAACCTTCTTCTTTATACTTTTTTTAGCCCTTGTGGATATGCTAAAAGACAGTTTTAAGGCTTTTCCGGTTTCCATAGAGGTTGCTTTGTTTGTTAATATTTATTTCTTTTCAAAAACCATAACACAAATTTGAAACCTTGTCAATGCGTAGTGTTATAAATACGGGTAATTAAGTATTATTTGCACCTTGGCCCTAAGCGTTTTTCCTGTTCTGGATATTTTCAAAGGGTTTTTGTGTCTTTAAGTCTTACATTGGTGTCTTTGATTTTAAAACACGATCGGTGACACAAGGAGTTTTTTTCCGAGCATTGAAACATTTGACAAGCAATCTAATCTTATACATTAGCTATTGCCCGTCGGCTTCGCCCGACATACTTTTCAGTTTTATTAAATATATTTTTAAAAACTAACTTTACATACAAGTATTTATAAAAAATACATAGCAAACTAAAACAACAAGATAAGTGATACACGGAACTACGCCTTGGGAACCTAGTAGCACAAGTGGTGACATGGAAATGGCTCCGTCCTACATGATTCTTCAGTCTTAATAGGGGTAGTATAGGGGAGGGGGAAAGCATAATATTAACGACTCCCCAAAAGCGACCGTGTTCCATTTCGAGTGCAAACACTAAAAGTATCTCACACATGTCCAAAATCTATATAACAATGATATTAAATGAACAGCAAGAGCAAAAGGAAAGGACGACTAGCACAATTCCTCAAACTTATCTATCTGACAACCATTTTACCAAATAAAACAGCAAGAGCAAAAGGAAAGGATAACTCCATGTTTTAACTTTACAAATGTTTAATATAAATTTGAGATGCACATCACTACAAATGTCAATCAAACTGTTAATCCTTATAAAATATTATAAAGCACATTTATCGATTGATAAAACTATAAAATACTCTACACTATATTGCACGATTTCTACATATTACCACAGTATGTTTATGTTATTGATAAAATAATTTACATTTAAACTTATTTCATGCTAAAAATAATCGACATTAGTACGTAGGGTGAGAGAACCAATCAATAACCGTTTTGTACTTTAAAAAGCCCTCATATCAAGCGTTTTGTTTTTCCTAGTATATCATAAACGGTCTTAAAAGTAACTTTTGAGCCTGATTGGAATCTATCCCGTCACTGGTCAAAAAAAAGCGGCAATCATCCTTTTGTAACACAAAAAAATAAGTGTTCCAACCAGTTTGTCTTCAAGGTTGCTATTACAAAGTCTTATACAAACGAGGCTGGTTGTGTTTGTCACGGTTCTTTGATTATTGGTGGAAACTGTAAAATATTATTGGTAATTACAACAACAAAAAATAGGGTACAATTCTGTACTCATTTTGAGATCATAATCCAAACCAACAATTGTTTAAACAGTCTCTCATTTACTGGATCACAACTTAAGAGTATAGCCAGTGAATGACTGCTTGGGTCTTTAATTAGATTTGGATAACATTTTTTTCAAATAATTAGAAACAAAGTTTTCTTCAGGATTAAGTGCTTGCTAGGAAACACAAAATCTCAGGAGGCAATCTCAGAAGGAATCTCATCAGAAATCATGTGAATACGCTGTAACCAAAATTTGACATGAATTCAATGTTACAGTAATTTAATAGATGAAAAGTAGCCTTTCACTAGAATCTATATTTCAACGATCCTGCAATGGTTATCATTTTATACAGGGTCTCCAGCTTCGGCATGAGAATCTTGAACGGGTTATTTGATGAAAAGGAGTTTAGTTTATACAATTTCAAAAGGTCAAATAATATGCGGTCATTAAATGGTGCAATAACTTAGGTGCCATAAATTGTATTTTCAACATTCTAGAACATAATACGCTAAGCTTTAACATTGGAGGAGAATACATACAAGACATTAAAGCTAATCTTTAAACTGTCGCTTAATAGCCTTTTTTCATGTCATAGTGAAAACTCAAGCTTAAATGGTCATTCCCTGGTGCACTCACCCTACCACACGTTTGAAATACCAAATTTATCTTGATTAAAATGGCAGTGGTGTTTGAAAAGGGACCACGATATAGTAATGGACTTCTTTCTGCTTAGTATCCCTTACATTTATCTAGTAGTTTAGTTACAGCCCTTCACATATAATTTTTACAACATAGATAATAAAAACTACAATTAAACATTTACTACTTTATTTACCATCGATATAAGCTTTAGTAGTTATTGATAAAACAAACTTAAATTCAAAATTTGAAACATCTATACAATAATTTACAATTTAAGAAGTTAAAAATCTTTTGTACAAGTAAATGCGTTTGTAAACAAAGAACTTTATTTCCTTGGAAAGATTTTTGATTAGGTTGGACCAATTATGAACATCTGTTGAAAAATAATATTAACTCTCCAGCAACAAGATAATTGAATTAAATGTAGGAATATAATAAATTAACACAGTTGTTTTGTATTACGGTATTTTCCCTAGAAAGAGCAGATTTTTATTTAATTTAAGCTTTTAAACCCTGTCATATATTCCAATAGTAGACCTAAAAATATACCACTTTAATTGGTGATAAGATTATAAAAGCTGTCCAGTTAAGTAAAGTATCTCAATATATCCAAAAAATTTTAAAGTAATCAACCATTTCCATTATTGCAGTGTCTACCCATAAAAAAAAATTGAAAATATTGAGGTTTGGTACCTTTGCCAACATAGCTGAGCCAACGTGATAAGTTTTTGGCGCTATAAAAATCTGAAAGCTTAACTCCAAGTATGTTGAAATAATTGACAAATAGACGGTAACAAAAAAAAAAATTCTAGTTATTGGTATCTGTATTGATTGAAGCTCATCCTCTTCAAACTTAAACATTTTCTCAAAAACATAATTTTAAACCGAGATAATTTTGAATAGCTTCTTTAGCGATTTACGTGTTGGCACTGTTATATGAATTTAAAAAAATATATCTTCTAGCACATTCTAAACAATTATTCTTGTAACATACTGTATTTAAACAATATTACAATTGTGATAGATATAGACTTGTTACACCTCTCACACCATAATCAGAGTCCAATTGTAGCCTTAATTTTGAAAATAGTTCAGCAAAAGGTTGGCATGTGTAATAGATTACAGAATATCAAACATAGATAAAAGTTGGGCTATGATCACGATGTTACCCTGATGGTGGAATTACTATTATACCTTGCTATTATAAGGTACTATTGTAACTTTCACATAAAAATACATGAATTATTCCATACAATTTTATTGCATTTCAGACTAATTAAGAATCTCATCCCAATTAGTAGATTTATATATATAGATTCTGTAGTAGTTTAAACTTCACATAGTTATGATATTCTCTTAAAGAATAATAAAACTTCATCTTCCATTTCTTCATACATGTATACTTTGATAAAACATTAGTTTGTGTTTGTGATAAAATAGCAGGGTTTACCATGCTCAGCAAATCTGGGTGTTTATGGAAAACAAAACATCAATGCAATTCTCAATGGTTCTCAATCTTGCACGTAGTTTTTCTTCAAATAATAATTGAAAATTTCTGAGTACACAGGTTTGCTGTAACAAGTGTATTATATTAGTGATGGGCTGATTCCAAAATTGCTCGATTCAGGTTCTTGTACTAAAATGTTAACCTCAATTTTGATTCCAGACCATATTAAGGAATACAAACTGGAAGAATATTACCAATATATTACTTATAATATATCAACCATGCAAAAGATCTGATAAATGATTTTTTCAAAAATAATCACAATAATAATTTCATTCTGGAAATTTCTTCTCATGTTTATCCAGCAGGATACAGATAACATCAATTTTTTTTAACAGGAATTTTTTGATGTTATTTAATTGCAAAACACATCTGCCAAGTTTAAAATTTGCACAATTGAAAATTTAATATGTCGTCACAATTGTGACAAATTTAAGAAGTTCCAAAATCCTAACCAAAGTGGTAGAAGATTACAAATATACATGATTCTGGAATTGATATGAAATCAAGTCACAATGTATCGAGTCTAATGTTTTACGGAATAAAATAATCAGAATCAGCCCACTCATAGTGTTAAACTAATAGTTTCTGTTATCACATCACAGCCAGCTCTGCAGACTGCCACAGCCAGATAAAATTGTTATGTTTGAATCTTTCCATGAACAAAAATATAGACTTAGGAAAAATTCACATTTGAGGCATTCTGAAATAAATAGATTTAAAATAAAGATTAAAATTCATTAAACTATACAATATTCTACAAGAAATTAAAGCATCGTAATTAAGTATATTTGGAAATCATCACTAACTAGTTTACATCATTCAACGATGTGTAGATAGTCTTTGGTGAACTGAGAATTGTAAAGAAAGAGTTTGATAGCGCGTTTAAACGTTGCTGTATGTAGACTTAACAATAGAATGAATAGTTTTGTACACAATTTACACAGCTGAGAAGAAGAACACATGTTATGTATCATGTGAGTTCACAGTACTCGGTCCAACCGTGGTTCGGTGCTCCCAGCCTCAGTACACCCACGGATTTGTCCTTGGATGCCGTGATGATGTCTGGTCAACGGTTAAGGAATTGAATAGTGAAATCTGCTGAAAATGAAAATAAATATACACACAATAGATTCCTGTGTGGATATGTTCATTTCAGACTTTAGAAGGCCGTTTGTGGTTATGCAATGGTACTGGCTTTTGCCTTAGTCGTATTAATATGTTCACGGCGGTTGCGCGATCGCCAGCCTCTGCCGGAGCAGGGACAGCTAGTACGCTGTGTGGATGAGACCCCACCCAATAGATAGCAGCAATGAACAAAACAGGCTGGCCTTCAGTATTGCCAAATGGAGGGAAATAACAGGGCCGAAGTACTCGGATACATCATGAAAAATACAACAAAAAAGGGGTCAAGCACAATAATTATGAGGTTAGGTTCCTTTCACAATGCCACAGTACATGTATTATCGTTATTCTATTCCATGTCATTAAATCCAAGCCTTAATACAACACTACAGGTAAATTTGTAATAGTCCCTACCACCAATAAAATAGTCAGATCTGAAAACAAATTATACCAGACTGAAGTATAAAACTGGCACAATAAGCGGCAAGCGAAACAACGTCTCACGGCAGTGGCTAAACTCTCAATTGAATAATAGTTAATTCAATACTAAGCCGATGTTTCTTCTGTATCTGAATGTTTATCAACTATCAATTCTTTAAGACTGTGACACACACTCGGCTGTATATTTCAAGCTGAATGTGAATGTAGGTGAGTGGAAATTGAGTGAGATGATCTTTGTAGCTTTGTTACTGACTAGGGTCGGCTGTTTCGTTAATCAGAATCTATATATATACAGTAGAACGTCGATTATCCGAAGCCCGGTCATCCGAAACGTCGGTTAACCGAAAGGAAGAAAGAAGCAAAAATCAATAAAATCACGCGCCAATCACGACTGGCCGTAGCGCTACGCCACCGCAACCCGCACGGCTGCTAAGTGGTGAAAGTCTAAATATAGCTCAAAGGTCTGACTCTCCCCCTTCCCCCCAAACCCCTACTTCATTCAGTGTTACGCCCGCTCACTTCGAGGTCATTGCACAACCCCTCCCTCCCTTCTATTGTTTTTCATTGCCAGTCACTAGTCAGTCGCCGGCGACTGCTTTGAGTTGACTTATTCTGTTGTAGCAGCTAAAAAAATAGGTTAGGACAACTACCTCTTGCTTATTTCTACAATGTAAAAATATTTGTATTACTGTAGAATCTACAGTAGTAAATATATCCAGTATTTCACGTAAACACAAGTTACATTTTAACAAATATTGATTTTTTACTAATTTAAACCAAAATCGACTCGAAACTGCAGAGTTAAAAAATAAGCTCGAGTTTCAAGGCCGTACTCGACTCGAATTTGAAATCTCAAGTACTCGCACATCTCTATAATTAATCAAATTTATATTATTGTACAGTATCCACGGACGCGAAATCGGCAAATCGCCGCCGGCCGCTATCCCTTCACGTCATTTCCCGTTCCCTGTATTTTTCCCGTCAATGACCAATTATCCGAAAAATCAGTTATCCGAACAACCCCAATCCCCAATTAATTCGGATAATCGACGTTCTACTGTATATATATATATTAATAGGCAAGCATGTTTCTTTAAAACCTTTTTTCTCAGCTTGTGTGCATGGCAGGGAAAGTCTACGCATACTGTAAGAAAGACACTTTTCTGTAGATGTGCAGAATAAATTAAAATACTGTAGGCTCAAAAATAAGCACGAAAAATGAATTTGAATTTTAAACAAATTTAACATGGGCTTTATGGGCTGCCATGCTGGTGACAAAATAACAACGAAATAAACAGAAAACCAAAACAAATGTAACAAATTACAATCACATGTTTTATTTACGGTATGGGGGTGAGAAATAGAGAAGTCTAATTAAAAATAGATAAGTGCAATTGGATTTTTTTTGCTAGAAGCGGTTAAGCTGTGGTCGAATATCTTTGAAGATAAACCTTTTTAGCGCGACCATGTGTTCTTATGTGTAAAATTTTGAGGTTAAATCAAAACAAACAAACTGGAATACTGTACTAAATTTATTAATTGACAATAGTTAAATATAATTACTTACTCTAATTTAATAAAATCACTTGGCCATTAGAGAATATTTACTGCAAAAAAAGACGTGATTCCTAATTCCAAATCAACTAATGAATACATTTTTGTTTAATTATTTTCTTCAAATTAAGTGATGGTTGCTTTGTAAATAATTATTTTAACAATAGCAAATATTAAAATACTGAATCGTCTTGCAAAATTAATGTCGATCATTATATTAATAGAATAATGTAGTTGCTGTGACTGGGATACACATGAAAACTGTCGACACATAATGATGATTTACGATTCGTTTGGAAATATCTTAAGATCCAGGCCCACCTTTTAAGGAATTCAAGTTATGTGTCAGAATTATATACTATCGAGATGACTAGATAAACCTTTATAAACTTACGTTTTTGTTTTGACCCATTTAAATTGTAATTAACAGCTATATTGTATTGCTAATAATTCACTCATGCAATCTGATAAGTTTACCATGTTATAAAATACTATTGTTACAAGTTAAATAGAATGAAATGAAAAGAATACTTTACTGGAAGAAACTTTTATGATGTACTAAATTGGTCAAACTTATTTACAGAATAATTAATGAACAACAGAAAACCATATGTAAAACAAAAACATTTGAATTCTCATAAGGAAGTCAAAGAGTACTAAATATAATAAACATAGTCCAATAGTTATTATATGCAACACTCCCCCTACTCAAGGCTTCCTTAGAGACTTCATGGGAACGTTAAGCCAGTCCAATTTTCTGTCTTAAAACCTTCAACCTTGGTCCAAGAAGAGGTTTTGTAAACAAATCAGCTAGTTGTTCACTTGTGTCAATTTTCTTCACTTCCAGGTTTCCTGCTGTCACTTGTTCTCGAATGAAAAAGTGTTTTATTTCAATGTGTTTGGTTCTTCTGTGATGCTCTGGATTCTGTGCTAGACATATAGCAGCTTCATTGTCTACGAAGATCACAGGTGTACTTTTAAGTTCAGTTAATGAGCTTAGTAATCGCTTTAACCAAATTGCATCCCTGGCCGCCTCACTCGCAGCTACTATCTCTGCTCCCGTAGTGGAAAGTTGAACAGAAGGCTGTCGTTGGCTGATCCATGATATCGCTCCACCTGCGTACAGAGTCAGTAGTCCTGTTGTCGATCTCCTGGTTTCATGGTCACCACCAAAGTCTGAATCACTGTAGCAATTAAGAACGCCACTTCCAATGTGCTTCTTGTACACGATTCCACAATCTTTAGTACCCTGAAGATATCTGAGTATTCTCTTCACTCGACACCAATCATTTATTGTAGGATTTTCTAGGCTTCTGGAGACGACACTCACTGCGTACGCTATGTCCGGTCTGGTACTAACCATGAGGTACATAAGAGCTCCGACAGCTTCTCGATACGGAAAAGACGTCTCATCTGTTCTTTTGTCTTCCTGTTCAGATTTTACTATAGGTGTTGGTGCTGATCTGCAGTTTTCCATGTTGAATCTTTCCAAAATTCTTGAAACATATCCTCCTTGACTTAATTTGATATTTTCACCAGATTTGGAAATCTCCAATCCTAAAAAATAATCTGCTGGTTTTGACTTGATTTTAAATTCTTTTTTCAATTCTACTAGGAATGAATTTAAGTCTTCATCATGAGTTGAAGCAATGAGTCCATCATCAACATATAGAACAACGATTAACTTATGTCCATTGTTGTTACGGATAAAAAGACATGGATCATCATCACTCTTTTTCAGTCCCAGTTTTGTTAGGACCATTCCAACTCTCTCGTTCCAGCATCTTGGTGCTTGTTTCAAACCATACAAACTTCTATTAAGCTTGCAGACGTGATTACTGTTATCACTGAATCCTTCCGGTTGATGCAAATAAATTTCTTCATTTATTTTGCCGTACAAAAAGGCAGTAGACACATCAAATTGTGTAAGTTTCATGCCTTCATTAGCAGCTACTGCGATAACACTTCTGATTGTTGGCATTTTTGCTACTGGACTAAAGGTTTGATTATAATCAATTCCTTTCTTCTGTACAAATCCCTTTACTACTAGACGGGCTTTGTATCTCTCTATGGATCCATCGGCATTTGTTTTTACTTTGTATACCCATTTACAAGGTATGGCTTTGTGACCTTTGGGTAGTTCAGTAAGTGTCCACACTTCATTCATGTGAAGTGAGTTAATCTCATCTTCCATTGCTTTTTGCCATTGCAGATGATCTTCACAGTTCGATGCCTCCATGTATGTATTAGGTTCATAGTGTGTGTTCCCCATAACAGCACTCATCACAAAATCTTCAAAACGAATGGGCTGCCTTACCATAGCTCTATCTCGGAGTTGGCGAGTTTGCACAACGTTTTCTTCCTGTTGTTCTGCTTCCTCGTCTGTCAATTTATCTTCTTCCGATTCATCTTCAGGAAAGAGAATGGGGACATTTTCTACTACAGGGGCTGAACAGTTCTCATCTTTTGCTTCATCGGGGACTTTTTCTTCTGAAGATATAGGCCTATTTACTATGGATTCACTAATAGGCTCTTTCAAAAATTTTACATCCCTGGACCGAATGACAGTACATTTCCATGAATTCCAGAGACGATATCCATCATTACCATCATATCCAATAAGTTTGCATTTCATCGCTTTCTTGTCAAACTTACGTCTTCTCTGCTTTGGAATATGGACAAAACAATCTGTCCCGATAACCCGTAAATGTTTTATCGTAGGTCTTTTTCCAAACCATGATTCATATGGAGTCTTTCCGGCAACTGATGACTTAGCAGTTCTGTTCAAAATATAGGCTGCAGTGTTTATCAATTCAGCCCACAAGCCTTGAGGCAGATCACCGTGAGCATGCATCATTGACCTTGCACATTCAACTATGGTCCGATTTTCTCTCTCTGCAGATCCATTCTGTTGTGGTGTGTATGGCATTGTGATCAACTGTTGTATTCCATTCACTTGAAGGACTCGTCTAATACTTTCATTGTCAAATTCACCTCCTCCATCACATCTCAACTTACATATTACATGGCCTGTGACTTTGACTTCTGCAAGAAACTGCTTCAGCTTCTCTACAACTTGAGATTTTGTCTTCATAAAATAAACACTGCGGTAGCGAGTAAAGTCATCCTTGAACAATACAAAGTACTTTGAACCTCCAATCGACTCAAAGAAAGGTCCACAAACATCAGAGTGAATGATTTCACCAGGTACTGAAGCTCTGTGTTCATCTCTGCTTCTGAATTGTGTCCTGTGCATTTTCCCATAAGCACATCCTTCACATACCTCATTGTCAAGCTTGAGATTAAGGTTCAGTTCTCTTCTTGCAAACTCTTGTACATGAGTTTTGCTTTGATGTCCTAGTCGTTCATGAAGTAACTGCAACTGATTAACAGCTGGAACTCCTTCCATAACAGCCATGAGGTCTACTGATTTTCTTACTGCTAATTTAAACAAGCCTCCACCTTGACTTCTATGTCCTTTGATGAGTGGTTTACCATTTCTATCAAACAAAGTGCAATCCTTGGATGTCGATACAAATTTACTATTTACATTTAAATCTTGAGCAGCTGTTACTGAAAATAGGTTTGCGAAGATACCAGGTACATACCATACATTGGTTAGTTTTACTGAATTCCAAATACCATCCAAATTTGCTTCCATGCAAATTGTTCCTCTACCAATAGCACTTGTCTGTTGTCCATTTGCCATTGTAACTGCATGAGGTAACACAAATTGTTCAAAGTCAGTAAACATTTCCCTACAATGTGTAACATGGTTGGTAGCACCACTGTCCACGTACCAATCATGTGATGCGGTAGTATTCTGGGTTTGAAAAACACAATTGCTTAATATGGTTAGTGCTGCTTGTTTGGATTCTTTTTCCAAGCTTTTCTTTTCATGTTTTCTTTCAGGTTTTCCATCGGCTATCCATTTCTGACACTCTTGCAACCAATGTCCTTTCTTGTGACAATAGTGACATGGAAACTTTTTCTTTTTATCATTGTTCTTGCTGTTTTTCTGTAGACCTACTAAGTTACCTTTGGCTTCATTAGATCTATTGACTGCCATTAAAGCTGTATCTTCTTTCTCTTTTTCCTTTGAAGTAAACTTTCTTGCTTCTGTACACAGCCAATTTGTAAGATTGTCAAGGTTTCTTGCTTTATCCTTGTGAATCATTAACCATGTTGTCTGAAAGTTGGAATATTCTGCTGGTAGGATTTCAAAAATCTTGCAAATCAACAATATCTGAGGTAAACTATCTTCTTTCTTGTCTTGAATTTTCTTAATTTCTTCTTGAAGCTTTACCCATAATGACTTGATTGCAGATAGGTTCCCAGCCATATCCAAGTGTTGATCCCATTTGTAGGTGAAGAACAGAGAGCATATATCATAGGCTTTATTTTCCTCTATTTCCGCAAATAGATTATGCAGCTCCTTCCAAACCTCATCTGGTTTTTCTAGGTTTCTTACCTGAGCTCTTACTTCCTTACTTAATGAAGATGCTAACATAAACATTACTTCTGACTGTGTTTTGTTATACTTATCCATCTTCATTTTGTATTCTTTCATTTCTGCAGCTTGTGTTTCATCTTTAGGTTTCTCTGGCAATTCCATTTTACCAGAAATGGCTTCGTATGCATCTGGGATTCCTTTAAGCCTAATTTGCATGAGATATTTCCAATCATCCCAGTTGTCCTTTCCATGCAGCAATTCCATTTTCTGCATAACAAATTCCATACTAAAGATTTTATCTCAAGCAATAAATTATTCTATTTAAAACCTGTAACACACAATATAAGGGTGTCTGGGCCCATAACCTGTTATAAAATACTATTGTTACAAGTTAAATAGAATGAAATGAAAAGAATACTTTACTGGAAGAAACTTTTATGATGTACTAAATTGGTCAAACTTATTTACAGAATAATTAATGAACAACAGAAAACCATATGTAAAACAAAAACATTTGAATTCTCATAAGGAAGTCAAAGAGTACTAAATATAATAAACATAGTCCAATAGTTATTATATGCAACATACCAGATACCAAACAGGAAAACGATATACGATAGGCCAAGGAAGCAAGATTCGAGTTTGGTTTATAAAATGCAATAGGTAACCTAAATACTGAACGTTTTTTAATAAATCAGACAATGACATATAGCCTACTAAATTTATTTATGCAACAACATGCCAGTTTGTTTGTTTTCATTTAACCTCAAACATTGACATGTGAAAATTGAACACATGATCACACTCACTACAACCAAAAAGGTTCATCCTCAAATATATTCCAACATATCTCAACCGCTTCTAACTAAAAAAATCCAACTGTACGCCTACATATTTTTGGTCGAGTTTCGACCACTGGACGACCTCTAGTTTTGTATAAAAGCCCAAAGATCAAGGACAGTTGGGTGGAGTCACGAATACTAGAAAAGACCCAGCATGGGTCATTAACTTAACAAATGACGTTTTGACCCGAAAATAAACAAAACCATATGTTAATTAATGCTATTAGTATAGGGGTTTTGTTTACTTTTGGGCCAAAAACGTCATTTGATTATGTTTATGAGCCATATTGGTATTTTTCTAGTATTCGTGGGTGCAGTTTAGAACCATCAAAAAGCAACTGACTTTTTTCAGGATGGAACTGTTAACTATTAGGGATGGTCAAGTCTCCAAATTTCGGGAAATTTTAAATCTCGTTACACGAGACGAGATTTCTTTTTGGCCGAGATTTTTATCGAGACGAGAATAAAAAAAAAAAAAAAAAAAAAAAAAAAAATTAAAAACGCCTGCAAAAAGTCAATGCAATACCCGCAATACAGGAGCGTGTTGTAGTTGCGTTTCCTTTGCGAAGGCGTTCTTATTTAATTAATTCTTCAAATGTAAATATTACTTTAATTATTTTAATAACATTTGAGAAGTTTTGTTAAGTGTTAGCAGTGTGAGGAATGTTTTATTACTATAAAAAAAGTCAAAACAAGTAACTATTTTATAAAAATTAATATTTTATTTTATGATTTATTTTATTTTAGGATAAGTTGAACTCTATCCTAACTGATATCACTATGTTTCCTAATCGTAGGCATTTTTAATAATTTAGGCGTGATTAATAAAAAAATGTTATGCTGATGTTTTTTAATAAAAGATTGTAAATAGCCTATTATCATTATTTTTGTATTTAAACAGTCATCTAACAATGTTACAAAATCAGGTAAAAATTTTTGTACGTGCATTTCCTGTTGTGTATGAGAAGGGAAATCCCGTCTCGAAATTTTATGAGAAATAAAAAATCTCGTCTCGTCTCGTCTCGAACTAAAAATCCAATCTCGTCCATCCCTATTAACTATGAAACTGTATCCATTCATTTTATATTTATTAAGCACAGTTCATACCGGTAATTTCTTATGGAACTTTTTGTTTGGATTTTTTTTTTTGTCATGTGGTGTCCAAACAAGAATAAATCTACCGTAAATTATATTTTTGATCAAAATTACCACCATTTCAGTTTCCATAAATAAAAATATGATCCTTTTCGGGAAATTTTGCAATAAAAATAACTTTGAAACTACAGTTAAAATAAGAGCATATTGGTATGCCACTGGTTTTTCTATTTCAACAAAACAATGTTAAAGTCTGCAAGTAACAGGCCTTAGACAATGTTACTATGTGTTCACTTTCTGGGAAAGAATCATTTGAGCTGATATGTCAAAGGATACATTCATCGTAGGGTGAGATGTCCAAGTCCTGGATGTCTCCTTTGTGTTTGTACACTTCTCCCAAGTACTGGTGATGGTCTGGATATCTGCGATATCTCCTCAAAACTCCTCCATCACACGCTGAGTACAATATACTGCCTTGTGACGTGTATCTGCAATCAAACCACATTATTGTTCAGCTTCTTAGCACTGCGGAAAATTATGAAACAATTCCCTTCATTGAGAGATTCCTCTTTTGGTGAATTTCCCATGTAGTGAATAAGCTATTGAAGGACTTGTGGTAAGACCTACACTGTGGACCGATTTACTTTTTTGTTTTGAGGTCCCCAAAGACCAAAAGCACCATACATTCAAATTCACGTCAGCACGATAACTCAAGTAAAAATAATCCAATTTTAACCCTCGAGCTGGCATGCGCCCGATATCGGGCGATTTACCCCGCGGCCGAAACGGCAGCGCCCGATATCGGGCGCATTTACAACGTAACGGAAATCGCCGATTTTTGCACGAAAATGAAAAAAAATTCACTTAATATAGTATTTATTCGGTTCAGAAATGAATAATCTGTCAATTGATGTGCATTTCAACTATTTATACGCCTTTGGGAAAACTTAAAACTCTATGAAAATAAAGCATCAGCTGACGACATTGTCATGGTGACGCAATCGCATATTACCAGCGTCTGTTGTTGTTTATTTTGTGTTGTGTTCGGTTAGTTTCGGTGTTTTTTCGTTATAAGTTTGATTTTTTATTGAAATGTGAGTTGATTTCACTTCAAGATGAATGATTGTAACTACTGTGAGCGATCTAGTGAGTTCCAATGCTAAGTAGCGAGGAGGAGACATGCAATTCAAGTACTAGGCCTAGTGTAGGTTGTACTCCGAATATGTATATGGTAATAAAAACTGTTATATGTATTTTTTTTTTTTTAACAAGGTACATGTATTATATATCATTCTTTTCCTCATGGAATTCTGCACAATTTGTATATTTTGAAAAATTTTCTTGAGTTCATTGATTTGTGTTATATTACGGAATTATATATGCATATAAATTTAAAAAAAAGTTTACGCTTAGTAAATATACTAAAAAATCTTTTTTGTAAATTAAAATTTCATATCTAAAATTTATATAATATTATTCCTTGTTTTTTGCTGAAAAAAATTATATATAGGCCTAATATAATGTGTTTTCTGGGTTATTTATATATTTTTTTAAGTGTTTTAAAAAATGGTTGCGCGGCGCCTAAAAAACCCTTGCCACTACAGAGTAAAAATGACTGCCAGCTCTAGGGTTAATGAGTTTTTTTTAGAAATCCACATTCATTCAAATGAGTTTGCAATACAGCATGATCAGACAATGGGAACGAAGGTTTATGGGGTAAAAAATGGGTTTTCAAATTTTCACCCCCAAAACATAAAATTGTTTAATTTCTTTCTTAACTATTTTGTGATGCCTACAGAAGAAATTCAAGTAGAGATGGACGGTAATCTGATTAAAGATCCACAAAGCGTACAACACAGTTAATTATCTCAAAATTCCTAAAGTTTTGGTGACAGACACTAATGTAGCTTGTAATACATCTCTTAAAACATTAACATTAACTGAATTCAAACCTACAGACACATTAGAAATCATTAAAATAATACAAGGTCCAAACAATTCCCATGCTGTTGGATGGGATGAAATCCCAATAAAACTCATTACATTGTCAGAACACATCATAGCCCCAGTTTCAAGCAAAATAGTTAATCAAAGTTTTTTAAATGAAGAATTTCCCGATAAGCTCAAATTTTCAGAAGTGAAACCTATTTTTAAAAAAGGATCAAAAACAAACAAAATTATAGACCTATTTCTCTACTTAGTATCTTTCTAAAATATTTGAAAAATAGATTCACCATCGCATAACTGATTTTTGGAAAATAATAATTTAATGTCGCCATCTCAATTTGGCTTGAGAAGAAATCATTCAACAACCTTTGTTCTCACTAAATTTGTCAACTCAGTTTCGGAGGCTCTGGATGGATCGCAAAGTGTTGTGGGGGTTTTCTGCGATTTGTCCAGGGCTTTTGATTGTATGGACCATCAACTTTTAATCCACAAACTAAAAAACATTGGTATAAGAGAAAAGGTCTTAGGTCTTCTCTCAAACTACTTACTAAATAGAAAACAGCGCATAGTAGTTTACAAATAGAACAAACGGTTTCCGTCTAGATGGGATAGTGTCCATTATGGTGTACCTAAAGGTTCTATTCTGGGACCATTGCTATTTATGATTTTCATTAATGACCTTGATTCAAATATAATCGGTGGTTTATTTTTGTATGCTGATGATACTAATGTCGTGGTAAAAAACAATGATTTTCGGCAATTAGAAAAATCAATTAAAACAACTGTGGATGAACTAAAAAATTGGCTTTACAAAAATGGTCTTTTAATGAATGATTCAAAAACCCACTTAATGTACTTTAAAATTAGAAATTGTGAGAAAAACAAGTTGGAGAATTTATCCTGTGGAGAGCTAAAATCAGTCAAGTCAAATCAGTCAGTGTGGGTACAAGGTTCTAGGAATACACTTTGATTATAAACTAAAATGGGAAAATCATATTCAATACCTGTCAAAAAAGTTAAATTCGTTTAGGTTTGCACTAATTAAGTGTAGTAAACAATGGATGTTTGTAAAATGGTATACCATGCCTACATTGAATCAATAATCAGGTATGGAATAGTACTTTGGGTATGTCAGCCCCAAACTAAAATTCTTTCTAATGCTCAAAAATCAATAGTGAGGACTATGGCTCGAGTAAAAAGAAGAAAAAGCTGCAGATCTTTATTTTAAAACATTGGTATCTTAACACTTACAAATCTTTACATAATTGAAATTGGATAAGGTCTTTTCTGGTAATTTATGAGATATTTTACTTCTGTCAACTTTATTAATTTTAGTTTAGTTTTATTTTTAGTTTTAATTTATATTGTGACGACACTCAATCTTTTGTACCTTGTGCATTATAAGATGTGATGAGTTAATAAAGAATTTTAATTTGAATTTGAATTGAAGCTTAAAAAGACAAATAATTTTAATAGTGTGTTGATGTACGGTATGCCCAATGGTTATGAAGAAAATTAAAAAAAACTGTAAATTTAAAATTTCCTTGATATTCTTATAGACAACTAGCTGCTGTACCCGTGCTTAGCAACGGTAAGAAAAATTAGTTTCATAATCATTAACATAAATTGAGAATAAATAATCTATGATAATGTTTTAGATTAAATAATCCTACCACATAGTTGCTGTGTTAAATATATTTAAAAATATTTCTTTGGATCAGCTGTCTGAAATTGTGAAATGAGCATTTTGGCAGTTCTTCCTATTTAAATTGAAGGTTCAAAGCAAAGATAAACATGAGTTTTCTCATCCTGCCATGGAGGCTAATCAATATTTACTTTTGAAAACCTCACTTCAAAACTTTAGACATCCACGGGGCAAAGCCAGATGGAACTCGAGGAAGTGAATAGGCCTATGTCGTTACTAGATATATGGACCATCTTTGTAGTAAATGTTTACTATATTGGTTTAGTATTTTAGTCGCGACAGCCTCCCAGATAGACAGACAGACAGATACCACCTTTTATAATTATAGAGAATGAATATAAACTGTTGTAGATTGCTTGATAAAGGAAAATAGTTTGATTTAATTAGGCAAATTTTTTTACTTCATATTAACACGTTCGCTGCTACGGACGTTCCGGAACGTCAGCAAGGCCACGGCGCCCGGAGCTAGGAACGTTCCGGAACGTCACCATTCATTGTTGTTTAACGATTCCATGGATCAGCCAGCTTGTCACGAGCGTTGTATATTTCTTTACAGCTCGTGGGGACGTACTTTTCTGTCAATAAAAACTTTAGTTTCCCAAAATCACCACCAGGGTCGCATAGTACAGGTCTTTGTCCCACCTCTTTTCTGCTAGATAGCGACACTACTTTACCGACTGCAACCTGTGTAGTACTGATATCTATCAGAATCGCTTGGTACTTTGTCCAAATCCAGTTTGAGTTTTATTTCAGAACTTTGCTATCCAGGATAACTACTGTTGTTTTTACTGCAATTCAGTGTATCAGCGGCAATGTTACGCAGCTACGAGCGCTAGTTCAGCTCCTGGCGCCGTCCCGGCATCTAGCGCTCAGCAGCAAACGTGTTAAGCAATTAAAATTTCAATAAAAGTAACACACCCTGCCACAGCAAACCTAAGTACTCATTAAAATTAATGTTATTCAAATAGGAAATAAATATGCTGATTTTGAGGGAATATTTTTGTAAAAAATCCAGGGCTGTGCGAATAGTTCGAAAAACGAATCGAATCCGAATCTTTTTAGAGATTCGATTCGGATTCGAGAACGAATCTACTGTTTCTAACTGGATTCGGATTCGGAATCGATATTCGAATTTACTGGTAAGAGATCCGGGTTCGGATTCGATATTCGAATTTCTTGGAAATAGATCCGAGTTGGGATTCGATATTCAAATTTACTAGATTCTGATTGAATATAATTCTCAATATAATTTTTTAGACACTAAAAAACTACTTGTGCACTCCGATTTGCTGTTGACTGGTTCATGTTAGGAACCTGACCAACTTGGTGTTAGGCTTTAGGCACATTAGTGTAGGTCGCATTTGAACCCTATCTTGGCTATCAGTAAACTTAACCTCACAGTGTTAGTTGTTACTTGTAATAGTAATGCAGACATAGGCTTGTGTGGAGGATTAACACCGAGGTGTATAATAGGCTGGGCCTATGTTTTAGACTACACAAATTGGTAGTCCATCACTTTTAGCGAGAAACTTAGGCCTAGGTGGTATGCCTAACTTATGCCCAATTTTTTAGTTTCAAAACTTCAAAAAGGTAGGCCTAAATTTCATAACTTTTTTATTTGGCCCACTTCAAGAATTTTTTTAAGCAATTCCCTAAGTTATTTCAGCCCCAGAAAATGTGGTCTAAAAATGTGAAAATTGGTACTGCTGACTTTCCTCGGATTTGGATTCGACTCTGAACAGGTTTAAATATTCGGATTCGATAACAGCTTTAAATTTCAGATTCGGATTCGATCCAGGTTCGATAATGGCTGTAAATTTGAGATTCGGATTCGACCCAGATTCGACTCGGGATTAATTAAAATATTCGGATTCGATCCGGATTCGATAAAATCTGTACAGCTATGATTCGGATTCGGATTCGAACCAAAATTTCTGGATTCGCACAGCCCTGAAAAAATCAACCAGGTATATGGAAATTTGCTTAGTCTGCAGGTCCGCTGCCGCACAGTATTTGAATTTTGATGAGTGGAAGTTCAATTTAAGGGTGACTGTAAACTACCGCGTTAGTGTGTTATGACATCAACAGTAAGATTGGTGAAAGCCTCCAGGGAAGAAGTCCTGTGCTTTAACCACTATGTCAGCCAAAAATTCTTCTTAAATCACACCAAGAGTAGTTGTAATAGTGTTTAATATTTGGTAAGCTTATTTGTACAACTTAATTATAAGCCATGAAAATAACATTTTTAGGTATACTGAGATTAGTTAGTAATAATACCTATGGCATGTATAAATAATGTTGATCGCCTTAACTTAAAACTTAAGTTCTTTGATTCCAAATCAAACTTTGAATCAGCAAATTATAATTCTCATTGAAATAATCAATCCTTTGGTTACCTACTGTAGGCTTAGTTGAAATGTCTTAGGCCTAAATGTCTTCTTAATGAAAATCCTAATGTCTTCATACAAACAGAATAAATGAATAACCGTAATTTAAAAAATACCCCGCCGCAACAAACCTGCAGACTAAGCGAATTTCAATTTACCTACCTAGGTACAAGATTTCCACTTAAATATTATCCTTAAACATGTTCAGATCTATTTCATAGGTGTATTTTTTTATTGAAATGTTGATACTGTTGATAGCTTAGTATGAAATACACAAAATTGCCAAATTTAAAAAAATATATGTATGAGAAACAAAACAAGCATACTGTTACAGACAACAATGCTTCCTACTTATCTATTTCTTTTTTAAGCTCTAGGACTTTATAAAAGTGAATAAATAAATTTCAAAATTTTATGTACATAGGGTCAAACACTGAAAAACTCAATTTTTTACCCCCCATAAACCCCTGTTTCCATAGTCCGATCATGATGGTTAGCAAACTTGTTACAAGAAACGTAGGTTTAATTGTTTGTACCAAATTTCATCAAGATCGGATCTATTTTGCTCGATATATATAAATCTGAACGGAGGGCGTTTTCAGGACTTTGAGGACTCAAAACCAAAAGAAAAAGAAAAAAAGAAAAAAGGACAGAGACCCAGGTTTTATCGTGAGACCTACGGTAATAACTTATTCTCTATGGGAAGTTCGCTGAGAATTAAACCCTGCAATAGGATAGTTTACGAGTCAATAAAATCACTTACTTGAGTTTCCAGATGGGCATCTCCTTGTGTTCCTTGAGATGTTCTTGGATTCCAGAATCAGGTACATACGAAGACACCAACTCTCCACCACTGAGGATCAAACCTAAACAGAAACAAAAAATATATATATATACTGTAAATCGATCCCAGGTCCAGGGCTTACCATGAGACCTACGGTAATAGCTTATTCCCTATATGGGAAATTCGCTTAAACCAAGCAATCAGAGAATATCAAGTTTGAATTTCTTATTGAAATTCTTTTTAAAAACCTGGGTAGCTGGGTGGGTAGGCATACACAGCCCATCTAGTAGGCCTAATCGTAAAGTTACCAAAAAAGAAAAAAATTTATCCTGAAAAAAGTCAGAAACTTTTCCACTTTTTTTTAAAAGTCAGAACTATCATCTCATTCATGTAACAGTCGGCTTTTGTTTTAAAATACAGACCTTTCTGTGTCAGAATTGTAATCTAATCAACATTACTTTACTCACTGGTGAATCCGTCGTCTGCGCAGTGGTTGAACGCCTCGGGAGTTGGACAGACGGTGTTGACAGAGTGGCCAGTTGTGAAACTGTGAAGCACTCGACCGTCCAGCGTGCAAATCTTGACTGTACCCTCCAACCCCGCGGTCAAGATGGACGACTGGTGACCTCTCGCCCACGGCCACGACCCGTGGAGGAAACAAACGTCTCTGATTTGACTCTCATGCAACTGGAATTGTCAAGTTTAAGTTAAGCAATCGGATACTAGTTTGGTTTTTTAGTTTGACCTACTTTATATGTACCTGATAGGATCAGAGGACCTTTTCCATTACCTAATTCACAACCACTATGGTGTATAGTTTGAAGTAAGCCTATTATAATTTACAACTATAATTCTTGCTCGGGGTTAGGTAGAAATACATTGGGTTAGGTTTGTCCTTAGGGTGGTGCGGCCGCTCCAGGCCTCGCGCCGGAGAAGGCCTCGCTACCCGGCGAGGCCTTACTATCGCTAGAAATAAGTTAATGTTTTGGAATTAAAATAAAAAAAGTAAAGTACAGACAGTCACAGATACATGTGCCTAAAATATGTCTTATTTATTATGAATTAGCCTATATCAATTGTTGTATCGATTAAAAACCTACGAACGACATTTAAAACACAAAAGAATATCAAACAACGTTTGACAGCTCGGCGGCGATGACGGAACCCGAGCCTCGCGGCAGCCCCCGAGCCACCCCGGTGAATGTGAGTGAGTCATACGCTTACTCTTACTGGTGCCATTAAAGTTCTTTTGTATGATTAATTAACTTCAATTTATTTACAGATGTAAATGTTTACTGGATTGAATGGATAATCAGCGTGGATAAGACTGACTGTAAACTACTCGCATTTCGCAATAAGCATAAACCTATAACAATATTTGTCATTAAAGTAAAAAGTAATACTGTGAATCAATTACACTGTAATGATACTACCTCTTTTAATTTATTATTAAAAACTCATTGACAATTATAGGTAATATTTTTTTTACCTTTAAACCCCCCATTACAGACCAACTGCCGAAAACACAATAAACCTATCTTGACAAAAAGTACATAAACAAGTTAGCCTATGAGCATTTATTATTTACAAAGTGACGGGACGACAATCCACAGTGAAGAGAAGTGTTCATTTTTTTATTAATTATTCTAAAGAACTTCGTGGACAATATTTATGATATCCACTTTGGAATTGGAACAATAATATGTGCAATTAGCTATAATATTAACGGCCATTTACAGAGTGTAAAAGAAATGACGAATTTGCAAGTATCTCATTGACAATTATTTATGTAATATTTTTACCTTTAAAACACCCTTCACAGACCAACTGCCGAAAACACAATAAACCTAACTTGACAAAAAATAAATAAACAAGAAAGCCTATGAGCATTTACTATTAATTGTCGTCCCGCCACTTTGTTTAATTTACAAAGTGTTAATTCAATTCACAATCCACAGTAAAGGAGAAGTGTTAATTTTTTTTATTAATGATTGTAAAGAATTTCGTGTGCAATATTTATGATATCCACTTTGGAATTGGAACAATAATATGTGTAATTAGCAATAATATTCACGCCCATTTTCAGAGTGTAAAATATTTATTTTTTTCGTCAAAGTGCTTAAAAATGACAACTTTACAAGTATAATTTTACAAATATTTTCCGGGGGGGGACCCCCAGACCCCCCTATCAGCTGGGGGGTAATCCGTACGCCCCAGACCCCCCGGTGAGCTTGGTTAAACAAGGCCTCACAATTATGTATTGCCCCAGGCCTCGCATTTTATAAAGACGGCTCTGTTTACTTCTTACAAGGTGTACCTTTGAAAGTGTATCACATGATTCAATTCTTGAAAAACTTAAATGTACACTGTGTAAGGGAGATCTTGGTGTTAGTTAGAATCATATTTTACTCGCAGGCCGCAGTATGTTAATTGATCACATAAATGACCAGAACATAGTAATTAAGAACTTATATTTACCCGACAAAAACCGTCAAAAATAGTGTCCCTCAAGGGTCAATATTGAGACCATTAACTTGACTGACTTTCCTTATCAACAGAATATATCCCAATTGTGTTTGTTTATTAACCGATGACATCAATATAAAAATACAGTATCTGGTAATTCAAAATCTGATGTGGTTAACAGAATGCCTAGTAATCAGAAGGTTTAGTTTTGAGAAGTCACTACGTTAACTCTGTGATTTTTTTCAAACTGTACTCAGCAGTTGTTGAACAATGGGATTTTTATAAATTGTCCTTGCTTAAATGTCTGTGTATTTTTATGTATAAGCCTAGTATAGGCCTACCTGACAACTCCCACTTGGATGAGTAAATAATTTTTGGTTTAGTAATTTAAATTCTAATGAAGCTGCAGCAGTTGTTTGTTTCTGTTAGCAGTGAAACAATTTCTACATAATCTCACAAAAAAACATTAGAGCTTTTCAAAAAGATAGCTAGTCTTATCGAACTAAAAACAAAACCTAGCCGAAAATTATTGGAGAAAACGTTTCCACTCACATCATAGACAAAGTCGAGTGGCAGAGGCATCCGCAGGTCCAGCAGTGTGAGGCCTTTACCGTTCACTGCCACGGAGACGGCCATGTTGGGACACACAGGATCGGTAGCGAGGCCGGAGCGCTCTCTTCCTCCATACGCGCAGTTGTCGTACGCCAACAGCTGCTCCCCTCGCTCCACATCCACCACTGCCAACCGCCGTGCCGTCGTTGCCGCCAGAATCTGACAAACAATTTATTAACTTAGTGATTAAAATTACTGGTTTAGATGTTTGCTACTACTAACTTTATATCCATTTCAATTTATTATTCTGTAGTAAGTAAAGACTGCATTTTTGCAAACATGGTATTTATTGAGTGTAAGTACAGAATCTGTTCATTGTAGGAACATTTAGGACTTAACTAAAATACCGTAAGCGTAGAGCCTAATTAAAAGGAGAATGGTATTGTTATTGAAAAATGCACATACCCTGAACAATTACCGGTACCGGTACAAGGAAAAATAAAGATATCTTTTACTAAAAATGCTGTGTCCATGAGTTGATGATTTATTTTCTCATTAAGTTTCTCTGCCAGCATACATTTAGTTTGCAGGTATAATTATAATGCCTTAGTTTAGTTCCAGTGAATCTTCAAGAGAGGACTAAAAGCCCTCTATCTTATTTGCTTATAGGTAACAATGTGGCAAAAGTAGGCCTTCAAAAAAGATGCCAAACAATTTGTCATTTAAAGAGGAAAACCTATTTTGATTTTTTTTATTATTTAGGCTATGAGAAAATTTAGCTTATTCCTGAAGATTAACAGAAAGATTAAAGCAAAACATCTTCAAGAGGATTAAGTTAATCCTTACATCTTGTTGAAAAGGGTAAGATTTACATACTTTTTAGTTGCGTTGTGTTTTGGGTACCGTATTCAGAAAAATACTAACTCTCGCCTTTGATTTTTACCAGGCTATTGAAAAATAAGCACACAAAAAACTAGGCTGGAAGTTCTGTTCCAAAGGAAATAAACAATCACTTACTCTCGATCCATCAGAAGTAAACCGTACGGCATTGACGTTTCTCGCTAAAGTCATGGTGGTGATCTGGTAGCACATGAGTAGTTCCATGCGTAAAGCAGAATACAGGTTGACTTTTCCATCGTAAGCACCGGAGCAAAACAGGTACCGATCCTGGATCATGTTGATAGTATTCAAATTCAATAAAGAATCAAACATTTAGCTGAGGCAAAGTTAGTTAGGATACTGTATGTTACCTATAATAGGCCTAATTCATATGGATTCGTGTTGATTTAGTCTTAACAGGCTTAAATAAAAGTTTGAACATAGAACTCTATTATTAAATTATCAACCATATGGATCAGCTGAAGACAGTTTTGTAGGTTGTTTATGTCCAATATCGATTGAGCACAATGTATGTACAAATATTTTCTTTTTAAAGTTTAATTTACAAACTTAAAAATTATTAAATAAGGCTAAAATACGGCTAAATAGGGCAATCCTCTGGTGATGATGACAGCAAGTAAAGCGCACAATGAAAAGATTACCTTAAAATACGAAGAAAACATTTAGTTAATGTCAAAAACTGAGCGTTACCGGGCAAGAACCACCTAGGCCTATATTATAAAATCTCAAGATTTCCATCGGACAGTTATAAAAAGTATTTAAAAAACAACATTAAAAGCTCGAGACTAATTACATTAGCCTAGATGAATTTTTGTTTGTTTGTTTTGATTAGGAATGCCTATTGATAGCTCATGCTTTCTTTAGCCTACATCAATGTTTTTCTCTCAATGTCCCAAGTTCAATGTTTTTCACATCGGTGGTAGGTTACCAATGTTTGTTACGGTACATCAATTTTTTTACCTACTATCGAAATATTAAATTTTTTTAAACTGGATTGTTTATTGGTTTTAATGCAAATTTTAATGTTGGTCTTGATAAAAATTGAATTTTTGCAGTTATTGTATAGAAAGGCTAAAGAAACATAGAATACTGTGCAAAAGTAACACAAACTGGACTAGACTTTGATAGCCTAAGACAAGAGAAGAGTGAGATTGATACAACTACCTACATGGGTGGTGGAAGTGCTTATTCTATATGACTTATATAGGCTTACCTCCGTCAGTAGTCCAAAATTGTGTCTTTTTCAACTAATGTTGTTCAAAGCTTACATGTTTCGTTGCATTGCAACATCGTCAGAGCTTTTTGTCAAAAACATCAAATAATTTACACATATGACAAAACACGGAACACGAAACATTTAAACACGAAATAACACGATAGCGCTATCGACACGGCACGGCAGCGGTTGTAGGTAGACTGGACACGGGTTAAGTAACTTCGTCCCGTCCTTCTCTGTTATCAGCTCGGTGGTCAGCTGTTCCAGATGAGATAACGGTGTTGAAGAGGGAGTGGGACTTGAATTGTAGTTTATCATTGAGGATGTATTCCTTGTGTTCTTCGTTTACGTTCATTTTATATATCTCATACTCCTCAAGTGTGTCCAACTTATTACCTTTCCCGCAAAAATGTAGAACTTCCAAGCCGTTCTTAATATCACTCATTGAGTGATTACAATCTACAAGATGTTGAGCAAACGCAGATTTTTGTTTATGGTGTTTAGGATCTGGTCGGTGTTCTTTATATCGTGTTTGAAAGGCACGACCTGTTTGCCCTATGTATTTGCTAGGACAATCCGGACAAGATATCCTATACACGCCGGTCTTATCTACTTTGTCACCTATCTCAACCTTATTTGCCAACACGTTCCTGGTACGGTTTGTGGTTCTGAAGGCTAGTTCAATACCTTGTTTAGCGAGTTCTTTCTTTAATGCGTGTTGGATTGTGTGACTATATTCCACACAGACAGCTCAGAGAAGAAAAAATATGTCTGTGTGGAATATAGTCACACTATCCAACACGCATTAAAGAAAGAACTCGCTAAACAAGGTATTGAACTAGCCTTCAGAACCACAAACCGTACCAGGAACGTGTTGGCAAATAAGGTTGAGATAGGTGACAAAGTAGATAAGACCGGCGTGTATAGGATATCTTGTCCGGATTGTCCTAGCAAATACATAGGGCAAACAGGTCGTGCCTTTCAAACACGATATAAAGAACACCGACCAGATCCTAAACACCATAAACAAAAATCTGCGTTTGCTCAACATCTTGTAGATTGTAATCACTCAATGAGTGATATTAAGAACGGCTTGGAAGTTCTACATTTTTGCGGGAAAGGTAATAAGTTGGACACACTTGAGGAGTATGAGATATATAAAATGAACGTAAACGAAGAACACAAGGAATACATCCTCAATGATAAACTACAATTCAAGTCCCACTCCCTCTTCAACACCGTTATCTCATCTGGAACAGCTGACCACCGAGCTGATAACAGAGAAGGACGGGACGAAGTTACTTAACCCGTGTCCAGTCTACCTACAACCGCTGCCGTGCCGTGTCGATAGCGCTATCGTGTTATTTCGTGTTTAAATGTTTCGTGTTCCGTGTTTTGTCATATGTGTAAATTATTTGATGTTTTTGACAAAAAGCTCTGACAATGTTGCAATGCAACGAAACATGTAAGCTTTGAACAACATTAGTTGAAAAAGACACAATTTTGGACTACTGACGGAGGTAAGCCTATATAAGTCATTATTCGTAGTCCAGGGGCTATCAAAATGAATAATATTCTATATGCTCCGAAAAATCATTTGTAATAGCCTAAATATCAGCGGCAGCACTCCTTCTCCAGCATTAGCAATTAAGACCGGTAAACTTTGTCTTAAAATCGTAAAATAGAAACTGCCAAACATCTAACTAGGTAGGAGCTAGTTTAACAAGCTCAGGCAGAAAGCAGACAAAAAAGTTAAAATTTTAAAAAAACATCAATCATTGATGTTTTCACAACAATCCGTGATGGTTGATACCGATGTTACAATCGATGATTGACCTATCACTGCTCATTCCTATTTTAAATTCAGCCAAGTCAGTTTTCTTCTGAAATAGCATTTAATATGTACAAAATTTAGGCTACCAACTTCTACAGAAATTGAGTGCTTTACCCAAAAACGGTAGGTCTATAACTTTTTTGATCAATCAAACAAGTTATTACATTTTTTACTAATTGAATGGGGCACATTATTACTTAGAAACTTTTACTTAATTAGGCTATGTTAAAAACATTTATGTTATTCCTACCCTTGGACTGAAGGCGACTCCCCGTACACTACCCTGATGGAATCTAAGGAACTTTGGTTTGCCTTCTTGTTGCATTTTATAACTACAAGTATAGGACTCAGCATAGATATGAAGTTGACATAATGATAGTCGGAGGATCAGAGGGAAGACTACCAAAGACCATTATCAAAGGCTTGAGCAGCTGTTGTTATAAGCATCATCCCTGAAACAAATGATGATGAGAGACTACGGAATAACAATTGTTAGGAATGTTTCCTTTTTCAGCAGATTTCATTGGCAAAAAGACCATCATGATTATCGAACAATAAAAGTATTGATTTGATGGATAACCAAACTTATAGCTGTCCAACCAGCGTTCGATATCGATAACATAATGGAGAGGTATACAAAAGTTTGCCGGGGCTCTGTTTTGTGTTGATTAGGATTTTTCAAACGTTCCAGTAGACAGTTATTTTTTCAGCTTAGAAAGTAGTTACAGCAGTAGACAGGTTAGTCTCCAGTTATTTCTGCTCAAATTTGAAGATTAGCGTAACAAGCCTACATTCTCGTATTTATCTTCATGTAGAATACATTCATCTGCAGTTTGCTTGTCTCTATGGTATTTTCATAAACTTTGGCAAATTGCTTAATCTACACTTATAAAAGGCAAAAATACCACTCACTCACTGACTTAAGTACGGTAGGTATATATCTTTAAATTGCAAGTTATAACTTAACATCTCAGAATTGGAATGGAGGTTCCAATTATAAGGTCTTGGTGTGCAATAAGAAACGTTTTCAAGAAATTCCATCAGGGCTCTGTCTCAGAGGCCTTTAAAGTTCCAATGTTATCCTTATGGAGAAGAGATTTGTTTACATTTGAACAGATACTTTTGAATTTTACATTTTTCACTAAACTTAATTATTAACAGTAACTTAGTTGGTTGGATTTGAGTTAATTGGTTAAATGAAAAATTTGCATTTTTTGAGGCTTGAATATTTTGTGTTTTAATGCATAGCAATCGTTTTATATTTTTGAATAAATTTAAAAATCAAGATATTTTAAGCCATGTTATTTGAAGCTTACTGAGCGTGAATCTAAGTGAAAATAGCCTAGACTAGATTATAAGTTAGATACCTTAGGTATTAAAAAGCACGGTAACCCAAATGTATAAAAATGCAAAAGTAACCAAGTTTATTAATTATAACAGGTTGCATACCTTGCCGTCCAAGGTACGTAACCTGCTATACAGTAATTGATTACCAATTCCGTCAGGGATACCCCTATCGGGAGGTGCCAACGGATGTTCTGGCTGAGGAGCTGAAAATCCGGCCATTACACATGAGGCGCAGCGTTGCTGATGTTGGTCTCTTATACAAGCTGCTAAGGGGCCATATATGCTGTCCAGAGCTGCTATTAGAAATAGACATCAGAATCCCTACCATAACAAGATCCAGAGACCTATTCGGCCGTCGCTTCAGAGGCACCACTTATGACTTTCACAGTCCTCTGGCAAGAATCCTCAGGCTGGGCAACAGAGTTGCTCGTGATGTCGACTTCTTCGCCGACAGCTACACCTCCATAAAGAGGACAACCAAAGCAATCCTGGTGGAGATGTTGGACTAGCCTCAACGCCTCTATCTAATATATAAAATTCTCGTGTCACAGTGTTTGTCTGCAAACTCCTCCGGAACGACTTCACCGATCGTTATGAAATTTGGTGTGTAAATTCTGTAGGTATGCGAATCGGACGTAAACTATTTCCCGTTTCGAAATTCTTAAAAGGGCTCCGCCCCAGTGGCTCTGGCGTTTCCCATGTTAACCTTATGAGAAATGGAATTAATGAATCTTAACAGCTGTTTCAATTAAACAAGTTGGTTCTGTTCTATGATGTTCAATAATAGCATTAAAGTTACAAGGATTACCAACAGGGTGCAGCACTATTATTTCTTTTACATTTATGACAACAGCTAATTTGCAACCAAAAGGTGAGTGAGTGTAGCGAACGAACTTCAACCTGGAGGCGAGTGAGCGTAGCGAACGAGCCAACCTGAAGGCAAGTGAGCGCAGCGAACGAGCTCCAACCTAAAGGTGAGTGAGCGTAGCGAACGAGCTCCAACCCAAAGGTGAGTGAGCGTAGCGAACGAACTTCAACCAGGACGTGATTGAGCGATGCGAACGAGATCATCTTGAAAATTAAACGTAACGGTACTTTCTTTCCATCGGTCTGTCTTAGGGGAAACCTATAACTTAGGCGATACGAAGTTCGCCGGGTCAGCTAGTTGTTATATATATTCTTGTTAAAAAATTCTATTGTTGTATTTGCTCTTTGTTATATTTATTATTGTTATATCTTTAGTCTTTGTTAACTTATTCATTGTCAGATTATTTATTATTGTATTCTATTGAGTATTGTATTGTTCAGCTTGTTTTTTTTTTTTTTTTCATCTATGTATTTAGTATTCTATTGAGTATTGAATATTGTTCAGTTTTTGTTTACATCTATGTATTGGCTTAGCCGTTGGCATGTATAAATAAAATAAAATAAAATAAATTCCGGAAGGCTTCAACATGAAAAAGTTTATTAATTTATTTGCTTAATGTGCAAGGGGGTGATATTAGACAGTTAGTGTTATTTTCTTTGATAACTTGGCTCCTTATTATTATTAGGCTATTGCCTGGACAGGGCTGCTTTTTCTTATCGTAGTCTATTATGGAATATCCAAATACAAATAAAGGAACTTAGCTTTGCTAATAATTAGTAAGCCGAGGTTCAGTCGCTTCATGATTGGGTCTATATATGTGTTTAACATCCCTTATTGGGGCCTAACTTATTTGGTTTTAGGCCTCTATATTTCGAGGGTTGTATGGCAAAATAAATTACCTCTTTATTTTGAGGGACGTAGAATACCGCAAAATAAATTATTATTGTGACAAGCCAAAAAAATGTTATATATCTTTAGCTATTTTCTTTGAAACCAATCAAAAATTCAAAGACTGGCAAAAAAGAATAGGCCCCTAGGCCTAAGTTAATAGGTTAGACTCTCAAGTAAATATTAGGGGTTGCAAAATCATAAGAACAAATGGTTTTCTTGTAAATTTAAACATGAAGATGAAATGAAAAATTAATGGCCACATAAGATTTAAGCCTAGCCTAGGCCTACCTCTATTTTAAGGTTTCGAATAATAAGTCAGTGTTCAAAAGTATAGAAATAATTAACTATGCTGCACTCTCCATCTGGGCTCCACATTTACTTATTTAAATACCTATGTCATGATTGGCTTAAAGCATAAATAACTTAATGTTTAAAAAATGTTAACTCAAATAATATGATGTAAAACTGCATTAGCGTGTTCTTACTACATCGGTTTTGGCTACTAACTAACACCAGAAACCCAAAACCAACACGGCCATAGCGAGAGGAACTGAAACAGGTTTACATTGATCTCTCCAAAATTAGAATATTAGGCCTACACTTATGATTGTTATACCTATTATTAGGTGTAAAAGTTCTAATTGCTAACTGTTGAGTCATTTTTTTATCTTTCAAACAAACGTGTTTAACACAAATGATGGTTTTTTGCTAACATATAAATATGTAAATAATCTTCAATCCATTACACTAACACCTAAAACTTGCAGACGCACAGATTCAGCTTCTGTCAGTCAGAAACAGAAACCAGAAGCAGAACGCAGAACAGAACGAACAGAACAGCAACGACAGCCCTCCCTTGGATTGGTTATTGGTTGGACTCTAGTCTCCAACCAATAATGAAACAGCTGACTTGCACTTACAACAGCTGCATCTCTCTTGTCATATTTCGCCCACTGCCTTTATTATCATGACTATTATACAGAGTTAGGCATAAGCATTGACTATATAACCACAACGTTGTGGCTATATACCGTAGTCAATGACATAAGTCAGGGACCCCCCAGTTAACTTTTTAACGAGTTGCAGTAGGAAAACCAAACTCGGTACATGTTTACAACATAAGAAATAGCCCTTTTCCATAAAAGTTACAACTTTGCCCCAGCCACCAAAATGGGGTATTATGGGGGCACTTGGCATTTATTTATTGAGTCGAAATTAATTTACTTGATTATACTTTAAAAGCAAACACTACCAGCTCCAAACACACTCCGCAAATATTTTCCATCAAGATTCAACCACTCCCCCAACAGCACCAGGTATCCAATGAATATTCAAAGTGGTTGAAATATGTCTAAAGACATGTAATTAAATATATTTTAAAAATATCTTATCTAAGAAATCTGAGAAATATCTGTTTAGATATTATTTAGATATTTAATAGATAAAGTCATCCAACAAATAAACAAACACTAATCAAACTAAAACTTTGTGGTTTTATGTAGTTATTTTGGTAGGATGAATTATAGTATGTTGTCTCCGTTACCCTAATCCGTGCTACGCGTTAAAAAATCAAATCATTTTAACAGCCCAAAGTGGACAAAACCATTGCATTTGCGATTTTTACGAGAATGACTACACTTTTCCAAAGGGAGTGTTTCATTAAAGTCAAACTATTTTAGTCAGAAGAGAAGAATGTGCATTACACCAGGGGCCCTATTTTTGAAATGGTTGACAGTTGACTCTACAGTCAACACTCAACTCAACCAACAACAGGTTTTGGTATTTTTGAAATCCAACAGTTTGGAAGTGAGTTGGAAATCACTAGTTGAGTGACTCGTTTTGGAAATGTAGAGCATACGACCGCCGAAGTTCAGATGACGTCATTTTAAACCAATCACAATGCAGAGTTTTTGTGATCTTCGATTTTACCTCTTCTTACTCTAAAATCTAGATCAGCTAATCTCAATCTAGGCTACCATATTTCGAGATACTGAGGTAAACTGTCAACTCCGTTCTTGAGAGATTGAGGTTATGTCTTGCTTAATCTTAGTGATTGCAAAAGTACCTTATATAAACTTATAAGTGTTAACAATAAAATTTACTATGGGTGTTTGTTTGTTTTTTTGTGTAGCTCATTATAAGTTTAGGCATATCCTAAATACATTATTATTTGCTTTCTTCGTATCTTTTTCAGAACACATCACCTTATTTTAGTTTTCGTCATCGTTTTGTTTCATGTTATTTTTGATTGTGTTTTTATTTAGGTTAAAGCTTATATGGCTATTTGCCATTGCACTGAAAGCTTATCGTAACTTAAATTAATTTGATCCTTTATTAGGTGAATGGTATTGAAACAAACTATGATATTGTTTCTCTCTACCACAATCTTTAATACCTTAATCATAGGTCTAATAACAATAATTATCTTTTAATAAGTTCAATTAGTATGCCTAGTGTATTTCAAACAAATTAAATAGTCTTATAACAAAGTAAATTGATTAAATAGTCTAGTATTGACACAGTAAATAAAATTAACAATCGCATAAAGTATTGTTTGCTAAGACATTGACAACAAATTCATAACCTCTAAATCGCAATTAGTAAATTAAAGCAATAACAAAACAATATGGCGTCGACTCAAAAAGGAGTTAATATTTTGCCGAAAGAGAGGAAGAAGAAAGTGCAGTCAACCTCCACTCAACAGCTCGATAGGTGTTGAGTAGTTTTGGTTGTATAAGTCCACCGTCAATCGTTTCAAAAATACGAAACGATTGGAAATAGAATGACTCGACACTCAACTCAACAGTCAACCATTTCAAAAATAGGGCCCCAGGTATTATACAATAACACAAGTCTCGCACGATCCAGCAGTTGTAACAAACCCTCAAAAAAACTGTCAAGCCGTTCCGTAAACACATTATACCATTGACTTTGAATGTATGATTAAACACCTTTTTATAATAATAATACATCTGCTTATAATATGCTTATAAAATAATAATAATAATGCAAATATTTCTTTTGAATTAAAATTCTTTAACTTATTTCAGGAAATTTTATTGGTTGAAAAATTTAAGGGGAAATATTAATTAATCATATAACAATTATAATAAAATTTCTAATGGTAATTAATTGATCTATTTTTCGATATCAGTATTCTCTCCAACTCCCAGAAAAACAATTAATTTAACAACTTGATGCCTAAACAGAATCATAGTATCAAAAATATTTAAGTATTGCGACCATTACAGCTGTTGGCTCCTCCGCTTGAAAACTTTTAAATTTAAAATTTGTGAGTGTCCCCCCAAAAGGGGGATTTGGGGGGGGGCAAATAAAAATTGTTCAATGTAAGCTCCCATAAAGTGCCACCTTATTTTGAAGTGTTTACAAAAACTTAAAGAATGGTGAAAACCAGAGTTCGCTATCTCTTCTCTATCCAAAATGGTAGCCAATATTACCATTACGAACAAATATTACCATTTATTATCCACAGCACTTGAGGATAGAGAAGAGATAGCGACATGTAGTTTTCACCATTCTTTAAATTTGTGTAAACACTTCAAAATGAGGTGTCACTTGAAGGGGGTTTACATTAAAAATATTTGAGTTGCCTCCCAAACCCCCCTTTTTGGGGAGACACTAAAATATTAAATTTCAAAATCATAAAATGAAACTTCCTGCTAAGATTGCACGACCACCAAAAGGATCGATATCTCTGTATATTTACTTAGAAAAATATTAGAGAGGGGGGGGTCTTGACTTTTTATTCATCCTGTAGATAACTCTGTGCTGTGTGGCTGTATGCGTCATTTTACGAGGGTCTCCGTAAATTAAAGATTCTCCATCTCCTGCTTGACTGTGCGTAATAGAGATGGGAATTATCGTTGTTTTCCAGCAACGGTTATAACGATAACGCAGCTGCCCAATGCTGAATTTTTATTTCAGGATTAGTGTTGCCTACAGTATTATTTTGAGGCTTCTGATTGGCTGAGGGAACATCATTACCGCGACGATACGGTTGCTGACATAGGCCTCGGTGGTGAAGTGGATAGAGTGCTGGGCTGATGATCCGAAGGACTCGGGTTCGAATCCCACCCGTAGCACTTTCTTTTTGTATTGGATTTTTTTCATTATCAACAAGTTTGGTTGGTTTGGTTAGGTTATGACGGTTTAATATTATAATTAAAACATTATGAAGTTGAATTTGACCCATTTATAGTTTTATTTTATGAACAGAAATATTTTTTTCGGTTAAACCTTCATTTGATTTTTCATTATTAGCAAGTCTGGTTAGTTTGGTTAGGTTATGATAGTTTAATTTTAGAATAAAAAAATTATAAAATAGGATTTGAGGCATTAATAATTTTATTTTATGAACAGAACTATTTGTTCGATTAATAAACCTTCATTAGATTTTTTCATTGTCAGCACGTTTGGTTGGTTAGGTTAGGTTATGACGGTTTAATTTCATAATAAAAATATAAAATTGAATTTGAGGCATTTATAATTTTATTCTATGAACAAAAATAATTTTCAATTACTAAACCATCGTTATAGTCAATCAGAAGAAGCTTCTAAGTATGTTTTATCTATGGTAGCACTGAATGTCAAAGATGCGTGTCCGTGTCGCCAGCCGCCATATCTGTGTGGGGCGGGAGTTATGAGAAGCCATGTTATTGCTGTGATAAGAAAACCCACTGCTATACCAACCTAGTTAATAAGAAGCCATGTTATTGCTATGATAAAAAAAACCCACTGCTTTACCAACCTAACAAAATCAGCGACACGCTTTTGACAGACTTCTGCCATGGCAGTGTTACCTCCGGTTATAATTTTAGCTCAGTCAGTCAGTGAGTGGCCTCTGGCCTCACCCCGCCGGCTGTCAAAGTCAACCGAATCCGAACCGTCAAAATTTCCATTATTTGATATTGTAAATTGTTGTAATGTAGGCCTTGAGTAGAAAGAACTGTTTCCAACATCAAAATATTCAAAATGTTTCTGTTCCTAAAGTAAGCCTATTTTATTTTAGTGTTTCTTGGTTTTTAGAAACATTTGTACACACGTGTTCCTATGTTTTAACTAGGCCTACGGTGTAAATGCAGCTTTACAGCAGTTGTGAAGAGCGACCAAGCCTTTTGTATGGTAAATATGCCTTCTACAAGCTTCTACTTAAGTAAGTACCCTACTTTTATTTCGGGGATCTAGTAACATAGGCCTAAGTAACTGTTATAGCTAGGGTTAAATGTTCACACTCTACTAATGTAATTCTTTAATGGACATGTAGGCCTAACTTACTCAAATGTAATAGACTTGCTTAACCTAGATCTTTTAAGAAGTAAGCTGGTCTAGTACGATATGCAAGTTAGTGAACTAGATTAACCCTTGCCGACAGACCGCCACCGCCCACCTGGTCCACCACTGCTCGAGCGAACACCATTACCGCAACAATACTTTGATTAGCCGAAGGTCTCGGTGGTGTATTGGATAGCGCACCGGGCTAATAATACGGAGGTAGCCGGATCGAAACCCACTGGAGGCTATATAGGCCTAGTGGTTTAAATTACCTTGTTGCTGTCAAAACGATCCTTTGTAGTTAGTAAGACTACAGCTGTTTCATGCTTCGAATTGAGCACATCATCAGGTCAGAAGAATGTCAAGTAGTCTTCATATTCCTTGCAGTGGAGTTCGTCAAAAGTTTTCATTCATTGATAAACTTAGTTAGTGCTACATTATAATGGAGAAATTCCTTAGACAAGACAAATTGAAAATTAACCCGGAATCTCCAACTGCCTCAGAGGAATGGACGCTCTCATTTGGTTACAAACATTCAAAGATTTTCTTACCATGACAGAATTTGCTGAAGACAAGGACAAACAGAAACTGGTAACTAATCATTTATCTTTTTCGATTTATAGATTTATCAAGGAATCTGAAACTTACAAAGACGCTTTGAGAGTTCTTAACTCAATTTACATCAAACAAAAGAATGAAATTATACAAGATATTTAGTAATAACTAGAAAACAGCAACAAGGACAAAAATATAAGTCGGAACTGAAACTTTTGAGCCAAGATTGTGTTTTTGTTGCTGTAAATGCAATTCAATACAGGGATCACCACATTCAAGACGTTTTTATCAATGGTTTAGCCTCATACATACGTCAGAGACTATTTGAAAATAAAACTTTAGACTTAGTTAAAGCAGTGAAACAGTCTAGAGGTCTTGAGATTTCTCAAGCTCAACTCGAGAGCTTTCCAAAATCTATGTACAGAATGCACTCTCTTGAAGTGCAATGAATGAATTGGGAAAGCAAGCTAGTCAGTACGAATTCCAACAACACCAATAGGAAGAAGCGACTGTGTCCGCTATTGAAAATGTTGATGGAAAGTGTTATTTTTGTGGACATGACAGGGATTCTTGGGATCGCTGTCCAGCCAGAGAAGCCACTTGTGGTCCGAAAGACAGGACATAATGTGACAGTCTGTAAAAGTAATCCTACTCAACATTTTAAAGCAAAACGGAAGACGTCTAGTATATCAGCTGCACTAATATCAACAACACATAATACATCTGTATTGAAAGACTCTTCAGTTGAAGCTAGAGTGAATGAACAAAAATCAAATTGCTTAATAGACACCGGGAGTACATCAAGCTTTACCAACTTGAATTTTGTCCAGTTGAACAAAATAAAAAATTTATAAAGAAAGTGGACAAGTATCGCTGGCGGCTTCTAATATGAAAATGTCTACCTGTTTGTTAAAATCAACCTAAATCTATTGAGTCACAATTACAACAATTTTAAGTTGACTGTTCTTGAAGATCTTTGTATCGAAGTGCTCATCGGACATGATGTCATGAAACTCCACTCTAATATACAGGCTTGGTTTGGAGGTGAGAAACCTCCTTTGTTGGTGTGCTCCTGTGCCAAAGTTGAACCACCCAAACTATACTGCAATTTAACTCCAGGTTGTAAGCCGATAGACACAAATCTTGGCGTTACTTGAAGGAGACATGCAATTTATAAAACAAGAAAGAGAAAGGCTACATACAATATGGCGACTAGAGCTAACACCTTATCAATATGAAATAGTGTACCGACCTGGTAGGGGGAATGTAAAAGCAGATAAGCTCTCTCTGGCATGTGCGGTTTGCTGGGACAATGCTAAGTTGTATGATTTACACAAATCTCTCTGCCATCCGAGTGTCACTTGAATTTTTGATTGGAATAGAACTAAAAATCTAAACTACACTATGGATGATGTAAAAAGGATGACGGTAGCTTGTCAAACATGTGCAGAAGTGAAGCCAAGGTTTCACCAATTTCAAAGAAAATTGATAAAGAAAATAAAAAATAGGCATATATTATTTGTATTGTCATATATATAGGACACAGTGATTGAAAGGGTTAAAACTCCAACTGTAAGTAACATAATATGTCGGAGTTTAAACTGCTACTTAGCATAGGCTATTATGCTAGCCTAGTTCTGTAACATGATTTACAGAGAAAAGTGTTAGTCACTTTATCTATCATTCAGCTTTGTAATCTATTGGCAAAAGCTATATGGCTTGTGATAAGTCTTTGCTATTATAATTTTAAAAGCTATAACATAATTGTGTTTACAGGTCACAAGTTCCAATACCTATTGAGTGCATCTCGGTGCTACGTTTTATGTTGATTACGAGCCAAAAACAGGTAAAATTAGTATATTATTTGGGTAATTCCATGTCAAATCAACACAATCAATTTACCTGACCATCTCAGATTTTTATGACATTTGATATCCTGGTAGGCCCTACACCCCACAGAGACTTAGTAAAACACAAAATGTCAACTTGATATCTGAAATAGTTTTAAAATTAAACCTCGTAAAATACTACACAATAAAAAACTCAAAAACGAATGAAATTTTAAAATACTTTAGTATCTCTCAAAATCGTGCAAGAAAGATGGGAGAGGTGTAATTTTTTAGCATTTTATAAGCCCTTTCAATTTTTCAAAATGTGACGCTTGAAAAATGTTGGATAAATTCTCATTTAATCTTTGTAAAAGTCATATTGTATTCTCTCTGACAATCAATAAAGAGGATAGGATGCAACTGCTACTTGTCTGTTTTGTTCACCAAAAATACAAGCTTTAAATACGGATTGAGACTTTGAAATTTTTCTTTTCTTGTTCATAACAAATCAATCAACTTATGATCATATTCCACATGCTTTGTAGATAAATGTCTTTCTAGTTTTGATGGTTTCATGTTTTTGTTTAGCAAGATCTTCAAAATATATAACACATTGAGTCAGCTGGTCCTCATCCGTAGACACATAAATTCATTATTAATTATCAAATATGTAGGCTACTTACGGTTACTAGAATTTAACTTATTCAATATTCACTCTCTTGCTAGCACTTACGAAGACTAGTCACTTCAGGTTTTATTACTATGTTTGCGTTGTTATTTCTTGATTCACTACGGTCACTACACGAAATATTGGACTTGAAGGTGTAGGAGTGTCGACACTGGTAACTGATATTTTACTGATTATTCAGTTTTAATTCAGGTGTGCATAGTGAAAAAGTAAAAACCAAGAGGTGTACAACAATTTAGAGTAGAATAAATATTAATAGTTGTTTAAATACCTGATTCTGGCAATCCAATTGTATTCCACAACTAGTTTCAACCCGCTAAGAGGTCATCATCATGTGTGTACAAGAATGATTACTTCACATAAAGGTCGTTAGAATTAAAAGTTGTTTGACACATACACATACAAAAACCTGTCACAAAATAATTTTCGCTAAACCTTCCCAGTTCCCCCGTTCACACCAGTGGCCACATTAACAACTGTGTTTATTTTTCAGCCGTTTCAATTGCCTTTGTGTTCCAATTTACCTGGGTAGCATCCGCAATTCACCACTTTATGCGACCTATAGTTTAAGAACCACTGCCCTACACAAATTAAATTTCAGTAATTCCTTTTGTTAACTAGAATTTAAATTATATGGAACATTTTTGTTTTAGGTTAACACAGAAAGTAAAAGGAATTAAATCAAGAGATTATACAGATTTAAGAATTTATATAATACAATAGAAGAACACAGAAAAAGAAGATAAAAAAATCCCTCAAGTATACTGAAGAATACATAATGTGCATAGCATGATTTTAATACCAGAAGATTCAATATTAAATGAGAGAGATAGCCTATCATATAACTGCTGTACACTTAAGAAGTACTACAAAAGGTTACTATTTTAATACATACTAATTCCTTTGATTAGTTATTAAATTTATGTGTTAAGATTCACAAAGTTAATAAGTGCAAGATGTTAACTCACACTAATGTTTTTCCTATCAAGTGTCCGATATGTGAGCAAAGACGTTCAACTCGATTTGCAATGAAGATTCATATATTATATCACACAGGAGAGCGTCCCTTTAAATGTTTGTCGTGTGAAAAAACCTTTTTCCAACTCAAACAAGTAAAGAAGCATTTGTTAAATCACTTTGGGACAAATTCTTACAAGTGTACTACATGTGGCAAATTTTTTGCTTCTAACAGCTATTTGGAGACGCATATTGCAACAGTTCATTCCAGTACAGGAAAAATACCTTTTAAGTGTACCACATGTGGAAAATCCTTTACTAGTAGCAGCAATATGAAGAGACATTTTGCAATTGTTCATTTAGGAGAGACACCTTACAAGTGCAATATATGTGGAAAATCCTTTGCTTCTAACAGCTATATTAAGAGACATATTGCAAGTGTTCATACAGGAGAGACACCTTATAAGTGCACTACATGTGGAAAATCCTTTGCTTTAAACATTGGTATGAAGACACATATTGCAAGTGTTCATGGAGGAGAGAGACCTTTTAAGTGCAAAACATGTGGAAAATCCTTCGCTTCTAACGGCAATATGAAGAAACATGTTGCAAGTGTTCATGCAGGAGAGAAACCTTATAAGTGCACTACATGCGGAAAATCCTTTCCTTCTAACGGCAATATGAAGAAACATGTTGCAAGTTTTCATGCAGGAGAGACACCTTATAAGTGCAAAACATGTGGAAAATACTTTGCTTTTAACAGCAATATGAAGAAACATATTGCATGTGTTCATATAGGAGAGACACCTTTTAAGTGCACTACATGTGGAAACTCCTTTGCTTTTAACAGCTATATGAAGAGACATATTGCAAGTGTTCATACAGGAGAGACACCTTATAAGTGCACTACATGTGGAAAATCCTTTGCTTCTAAGGGCAATATGAAGAGTCATATTGCAAGTGTTCATTTAGGAAAGACACCTTTTAAGTGCACTACATGTGGAAAATCCTTTGCTTCTAACAGCTATATGAAGAGACATATTGCAAGTGTTCATACAGGAGAGACACCTTATAAGTGCACTACATGTGGAAAATCCTTTGCTTCTAAGGGCAATATGAAGAGTCATATTGCAAGTGTTCATTTAGGAAAGACACCTTTTAAGTGCACTACATGTGGAAAATCCTTTGCTTCTAACAGCTATATGAAGAGACATATTGCAAGTGTTCATACAGGAGAGACACCTTATAAGTGCACTACATGTGGAAAATCCTTTGCTTCTAACAGCTATATGAAGAGTCATATTGCAAGTGTTCATTTAGGAGAGTCACCTTATAAGTGCACCACATGTGGAAAATCCTTTGCTTCTAACAGCTATATGAAGAGACATATTGCAAGTGTTCATACAGGAGAGTCACCTTATAAGTGCACCACATGTGGAAAATCCTTTGCTTCTAACAGCTATATGAATAGTCATATTGCAAGTGTTCATACAGGAGAGACACCTTATAAGTGCACTACATGTGGAAAATCCTTTGCTTTAAACAGTAATATGAAAAGACATTGCAAGTGTTCATACAGGAGAGACACCTTATAAGTGCACTACATGTGGAAAATCCTTTGTTTGTTACCGCTATATGAAAATACATATCGATGGTTATATGCACAAACATTGTATGTCCAATTTTTTCACTTTTGAGACCTATTATGTGCACTACATGCGGAAAATCCTTTACTTCTAACAGCGAGAGACATATTGCAAGTGTTCATACAGGAGAGAGACCTTATAAGTGCAAAAAATTCTTTAAAACCAATGACAACATAAAGAGACATTCATTTATTCATACAAGAGTAAAAGTGCACTTTATGTAAAACATTCTTTAAGTTGATTATTGTTTTTTTGAGGAGACATGCGCGAACTGTTCATACAGAGAGATCATAGTGCACTACATAAAAGTCCAACTAGATATAAACTCATATATTGCAAGTGTTCATACAAGAGAGATACATTATAAGTGCATTTTATGTGGAAACCACTTTGCCTGTTATAGTTGTTTGAAGAGACATTTTCTGACTGGTTCAGACAGGAGATAAACCTTACATGTGCATTTCATGTGGAAAATCGTTTTCATTTATAATCTGCATGAATTAAATATAATATATTACTTTATTGTCACATACACAAGAATACATTCCAAGTTTCTAGCGCACCTAGAGGAACAGGTGACATTGTCAAATATGCATAATATAAAACAAAGAAAACATTCCATAAATTAAAATAGTATTAAAGTAAAATTAACTATAAACTGATTTATTGTCCAAAGTGTGCACCAATATTATTGTCATCCAGAAATTCAGATACAGAATAGAAGGTTTTTTCTATTAAATACAGTTTAAGGTTATTTTTGAATTTAGTTATGCAGCTAATATTTTTGAATTTATTTGGTAGACTATTGTAAAGCCTCAAACTCATATAGTAGGGTGACTTTTCGTACAGACAAAGCCGATGCCTTGGATACTGCAGGTTATCTTTGAAACGTGTGGGGTAGTGATGAACAAACTGCTTACTTACATATTTGTGAAAATTACTTTTTAAATTTACTAGAGTTTTGAAAATAAACAGTGAAGGCATTGTCAAGACTTTTTTTTTAAATAGTGGCTTACATGATGTTCTTTTAGATTTAAAAGATAGAATTTTTAAAAAACGTTTTTGGATTTTATCCCTCCGAGTGTCATGCTTCGCTGCAGCGACGCGTAACGCACTTTGTATAGTGTCGTGCGTCGCTGCAGCGACTCGCGAACACTGTTTACGGCGAAGGCTCTATGACTAACTGAATCGGACTGTACTGCATTGAGTTAGGTATCGTTCTTTCCATTATATTCTAAGCTTTCTCCAAATGTCTGTCTCAGCGCTGTAGGTTATCTGAGCCGATCCTAAAATGTAGTAGACAGCTGACGTTCGTGTTGTAGACATCTTGGATATTTCGCATCGGTGACTTGTGTGTTTTTGTACGTTTATCGTCGTTTTTAGTGGTGAAAATGGACAGTAGTGATATACGTAATGCACTACAAGATGAAATTAGTGATGGTGAAGGACTTATTGACGATCCGGATGAAGTTAGTAGTGACATAGAAGTTAATTATCATTCAGATTCTGAACTATCTTTGCTAGACTTTTCGTCAGGGAGTGGAGAGGAATATGTGCCCGATTTGAACGATTTAGAGACGTCAGATATTGACGAAAATCTTGAAATTGAAAATGAACAAGACCCTAATGCAGGTAGGCCTAGGCTAATACCAGTACAGCAAAACATAGAACCTTGGATTAGGGTGTATCCCCCCGAACCTCCGAAAGATGTCAGACCTCAGTTTCAAGTTAGGGCTACAGGACCCAAAGATTTACCCCCCAGAAATTCTTCCCCTATCAATTATTTGAACCTATTTTTGACAGCTGCCTTTTGGAATCTCATAACTAGAGAGACTAATGCCTATGCTCAAAGAACATTAGATGAAAAGAGAGATAATTTGAGTCCACAGTCTAGGCTCAAAAAATGGACCAATGTTTCCATACAGGAAATGAAAAAGTTTTTTGCTATTCTTATCAATATGGGAATGACAGTTAGAAAAAACATCAAATCATATTGGGACACTAGAAAAACAGAACATATAGCATTTTATTCAAACACCATGGCGATAAATAGGTTTTTACTCATAAGCAGTTTCTTGCATTTGACATCGGCCCGCGCTGTTGAGAGGGGTCAGCCTGGACATGACCATTGGATAAAAGTAAGGTGGTTGTTAGATCATCTGAATTCAAGTTTCAAAAAACACTTTGTACCAAATCAGGAACTCTCCATCGACGAAAGTGTAGTAGGAACAAAGAACCGATGCATATTTATTCAATATATGCCAAATAAGAAACACAAGCAATACGGAATTAAGAAGTTCGAACTTTGCGATAGTGCCACCAATTATGTTATGCACATGGAACTATACAGTGGACGTGACTACCTTGCTGAAGCTAATTATGATGAAGAGTTATTTACTGAGAGGGTAGTAAAGAACTTGGTTGAAAAATCTTCATTGTTTGACAAAGGATATCATGTCTTTACCGACAACTTCTACACGAAAATCCCATTGGCTGAACACCTTCTTGAACGACAAACATTCATCACCGGAACCATAAACAAAAAGTCAAAATTTTTATCAAAAAGAATTAAAAACTATAACTTAGGAGAAAGGGAAACAGTATACTTTAGAAAGGGAAATCTGTTATTGGTTGGTTACCGTCAGAAACTGAGTAGGAAAATTGTGTATTTGATTTCTACAGCATACCATGCGGAAGATCAAATTGTTACAAGTAAAAAGGGACTGAGAGGTATGAAACCGGTTTTGATACACCATTACAACCAGTTTATGGGTGGTGTAGATGTAAGCGACAAATCTGTGTACCATATGTCTTGCAACCGCACCACTTCCAAGTACTGGAAGAAGCTGTTCTTCAATTTTATTGATATTGCGCTCGTAAATGCTTACATTCTGTACAGAGAGAACACTGACAAACCTGTATCAAGAAGAGATTTCCACATATCTATTGTAGAATCCCTCGTAGGCCAAGCAACCTGCGATGCCTTACCTGGACCAGTTCCTGGACCCCACGGAGATTGCGGTGACCACCGACTTGAAAAACTGCCTCAAAGACAAGAAAGAAAGTGTATCGTTTGTGGTCACACCAAAACTAGAGGCAGGTCTAGATTTTGGTGCCCCGGTTGTAATGTGGGTGTTCACCGAGAATGCTTCCACAAAATGCAGCACTTTTTGAGGCTAAAGAGGGGCAGAAAAAGGGCCAAAGTGACCCTAGACCAAAGTAGCGGTGAGGACTCTGACTAGGCCCATGTGTTAATTCTTCTGTATATAATATTTCTTTTCATAAGTGTTTAGTTTTTATTTACAAGTGTTGAAAACTATTGACAGCAACAACTTTGCAAGTTTTTTGTCTAACTTTTGTGACTTTTTGTAAATATATTTTGGATACTTTGTAATTTATCAAGTTCAGCAAACGAATTCTTCAAGTTCGGCAAAGGATTCTGGCCCCAATCAAGGTAAAACCATGCTGTATTTTTCTCATTTACTAGTAGGCTGATTTTGTACTAACTGTAAATAAAATTTCATACAACATGAAATACTCTGGTTGGTTCAATATGTGTTTTTATGAAAGGTGTTGAGTCATTTGGCGATTTCGGTATTTTCTTTCAAACGCGCAAAACATGTTTTTCACTCATAACTTTTTTATTTCATAACTTACCTCACTATATGATTATATATTTGTAATCCTCATAAAATTTAGAACAAAGTGGCTATTTTCAAATATTTATAGGCCTATAATTTATACAATTTCATTGAGCGCGAACTTATTTTTTTTTTGAAAATTTTCCAAATTATATTTTTTTTTACATAAAAATTTTTTTTTTGAAAAAATGTTCCTTATGTTTTATATATAATATTGAAGCCCATGATTTTCCAAACAAAATGGTATATAGAACAGTATAATTAACATTGTTTTTAAGCTTCTCAGATCAGTTTTAATAAAACCTTGCAAATGAGCAAAAAATAGGCTGACATTAAGGCCAAAACACTTGACACTCGGAGGGTTAAATATTTTAATTGCGTGGGAAGTGGAACCCCACAGCTCAATACCATATTGCAAATGAGAGAAAAAATGGCATAATATACCATAATTTTAGTTTTGGTATCTATTATATTTCGCAACACATAAATTTGGAAACAAGCAGTGTTTAATTTTTTTGTAAGCATATCAATGTGCGGTTTCCATGACAAGTTTTCATCAATTTGTAGTACCTATCTAAGTTTTGTCAACAGAATATCATAATCTACAGAATCAAAGGCCTTGGAAAGGTCACAGAATACAGCCGCTGTACTCTGCGACCCATCCAAACCCTCCGACACCTGATTTATGAAATCAGAGATAGCAGATATTGTGCTCATTCCAGATCTAAAACCAAACTGTTGGTCAGCAAATAGTTTGCTAGCATCAAAAAAAGAAAAAATTTGATTGTATGCAATTTTTTCAAAGATTTTAGAGATGTTGGGTAGTATTGATATTGGGCGGTAGTTATCGGGGTTTTCCACTAATCCCTTTTTGAAAAGAGGTTTCAATTCAGCATATTTCATTTGATTGGGAAATATGCCGTCAAAAAAACGTTTATTTATAATTATGCAAATAGGACGTGCAATGAAAGTAGCTACCCTTTTGATAATAACAATGGGAATATCATCCCATCCAACAGATTTTTTATTTTTTGTTGTTTTTGATCGTTTTCTTGACTTCTGAAATACTTACAGGGTGGAAATTAAAGTAATTTTTCGGATTATTTTTAAAATTATTGACAAATTCTTCTGCAGTATCAACATATGACCCGCATCTATTGTCTCCCAAAACATTTAAATATTTGTTATTGAAATAATCTGAAATAGTCTGACCATCATTCAGGCGCTTCTTTCCAACTTAAATATGGCTCCGTAAGAATAACATGGTCATTTTAAATTAACAATTTTTTGGAATTTTCTCCGTAACCATTAGGCGCATTATAACGCTTCAATATACTAAATTATTTGTTTTTTTAAGCTCTACAAAATAGTTTGGAAAGAAATTGCAAAATTTTATGTTTTTTGGGTCAAAAATTGGAAAAACCCATTTTTACCCCATAAACCCCCGTTCCCATGGTCCGATCATGCTGGTTCGCGAACTCGTTCGAATAAACATAGGTTTACACGTTTGTACCAAATTTCTTCAAAATCAGATCATTTTTGCTCGAGTTATCGCGCTAACGGACACATATAAATATATATATATATATGGATTTGAACGGATGGTGTTTTTGGCCTCTAGGGACCACCAAAAAAAAATCGGTCCCGGGTCCAGGTCTTATTGTGAGTACTACGGTAATAGCTTATTCCCTATATGGGAAATTTGCTAAAACTACTCAAATATGGGTAAGCAATGTCCTGAACACGGCATTTGTACTCAAAATTAAACCTATGCAAATCTAAATACAATGTTCTGCAAACGGATGACTTAGGACGCTTGACACTTGGGACACGCAGCACACTCGCGCAAACCATTTCAATGTTTTCCAGCGTTTGAACAGCCCGAGGTCTCCCGCTAGGTTTGATTTTGAGTTCAGAAGCTGTGTTCTATAAATTAAATACCCAACCTTTAATAGTGTTTCGGTTTGGGGTTGCACTTTAATGGCCAACGTTGAAGCATTGACTATTGGATAGAGAACAAGACATCCCATCTATATGGATCAGCTGTCGCCAATTTTTTACTAAAAAAAGAATGTAGTTGTGTGAGCCAGTCACAGATTGCGCTAGTATTTAAAACTCTATTTTGTACCTTATTTTTTGTTACTGATGTAGTTCGTGGGTCACAACAATTGCTATACCTTGTAATAAGTCATTGGCCATCAGTTTGACTTGGTAAAAACCATCGAGTAATCGGCTGAAATCGGTCATTTAGATCAGCGCAATCTGTGGCTCACATCAACTAAGACAAATTTTATTAAAAACCTAGCTACAACTTTAACATGGGAATGGAAAGTCT